GGTGTCCTGGAGGCCCTGCATGGTGCTGGGTGCCTTACAGATGCTCAGACCCTGCTGAATGATGGATGACTGAGAAATGCCAGACCAAGTCAGACCCTGGCTTCTCTCACTTGCAAACTTCAGTTCCAGCAGTGGCACCAAGGGACATTTTATATGAGGCCATGACCATTCTGCAAAGAATAATTACTCAGTGTTTGACTGGCCAGGGCTATTTTAAAGATGTGAGTGGGGCCCGGAGAGATTAAATGATTTTTTTCAAGGTCACAGCTAGTTAATAATAGTCTAGAGACTAAAACTCAAGTCTCAAAACTCCTGGCTCACCCTTCTTTGCAGAAAACTAAATGAAGGTTTGTGTGCTCATTTTGTGTACTCCGAGTGAGGCCAGATTCCCACCATATAGAAAATCTTCTTGGCCCAGTTCTTCTTCAGCACCTTTGACGGCCCTTCCCTGTCTCCCCAGTGTCATCCACTACCTACTGCCCACGGCACTCTGGTGTCTTCTCCGTGTCTGACAGTCCTTGGCCTGACAAGTCCATGATTCCAATGTCTCTGCCGTGGCCCAACTCTACCTCCTCACCTGCAGACCTGTATTTCCAGCCTCCTGTGGTCATGTCCCCTGCTTGTCTGACTCAATACACATATCCCACGCAACCCATCATCTTCCCACCTAAGCTTGCTTCCAGTTCTGTTTTGGCACCACCAGCTACACTTGTTGCTCCACCCAGAAGCCCACGAATCAATTTCAGATACTTACCTCTCACCCTAAACAGTCAGTTGGACCTCAGGCCTTGTTGATTCTGCCCCTTAAAGACTCTGGAACTTACTCTGCTTCATCCCCAGACTCACTGCTAAACTGAGGGCCTTAGTGGCTCTGGCCTAGACTATGGCTGTAGTCTTCCTTCATTCATCTCCCCCACCACAGCCAGAGTGGGCTTTCTAAAACACCAACCTGACTAGAGTGCTATGGCTTAAAGCATTCACTGGACACCTTAATCATTCACAGGACAAAGTCCAGATTTCTTACAGATGATGTACAGGGCTGTCTGCTGAGAATATAAGGTAAAAATAAGGCAGAGGCGGTCCCTGTCCTAACAAAGTTTCCAGTTTAGTGGAGAAGACAGAGATAAAGGTAAACAACAGTTAAATAAAATTCATTAGAGGTTATGGTGATGAAGGAAGTCTTAAAAGGCCATGCAATGCAGTGGTGACATTTAAGTTGAGACAAGAGAGGAAACCAGCTCTGCAGAGTCTAAGAAGAACATTTGAGCAAGAGGAAACCCCCAGCACACCAGTCTTGAGATATGAACCCCAGCTGGCATGTTTCCGGGCCTCCTGAGGATCGGTGTGCCTGGGCACAATGAGTGACACACTGCGGGAGGAAGGAGGGACAGGCAGGGCCAACTCGCACGGCTTTTTCCCTAAGCGCCCAAATGTGGGCTGAGCGAATGAATCAGAGTAAACACTTTCGGGTGTTTCAATCACTCGTATTGAGTTCCTTGGCGGCATCTCTCAAATGCTGCCACCTTGGTTTGGAAGCATCCACCAGGCCTCTAGAAAGAGGTGGTGAGAACAGTAACTAAGGACTTGGACTCTGGGCTCAGCTAGAGGCCAACTCCTGCTGTGTGTCTCAGAGCTGCGTTACTCTACTTCCCCAGCTGTCAAATGGGAATAATAGTACCTACCCCGGTTGCTATGGTTGCTATGAGGATTAATGCAGCAGCTAGAACATTGCCCAGCACAGAGTAAGAGCTCAATACATTTCAGCTGCTATTATTATAGTTGTTGTCAGTATCAGAAAACCTAGATTCAGGTCTCGTCTACCAGAGCCATGGGACCTCGACAAACTTCTGACTTTTCTGGGCCTCAGCTTCTCATCTGTCAGAGGGAAGTGAGATGACATTCACTGCCTCGATACTCCTGTGAAAATTCTATTAGATGGGCAGCAACAGCCCTGAAACAGCCCCATGAGTGGCTCAGCATGGAGCTTACGAACACCTTCAGGATCCTCCGGATTTCTAGAAAGATCTGCACTGATTCTTGTCTTGTTTTAGGATGCGATGGCAAAGAAGGCCAAGGGGATCATTCAGCAGCAGAAGAAAAAGTTATCACTCGATGAAATGATTCATGAAGCTCAAAATTTTGTGGAAAAAATCCGCTTTCTTGTGGATGAGGTAACCAACTCTAATAGTGACCCTCATTTGGAAGATTAGACTGGGTGTCTTCCCAGTGAGGTTTCATAAGGATGAAAGACAGAGCAGTATTGTCTCCTGCACCCTGCTGAGCTGAGCGGGCACTATTAGTTTAGGGGTGAAAAAGGAGATTTTAGAGTTAAGCCAAACATCTATAGCTTTATTGATTTTTTTTTTTTTAAATGAAGCTTGTGTATTCAGCAGGAATAAAAAGCATGTCCCTTAATGGGCTCAAGACAAGTCAAAATTAGTACAGATCTTTGGTAAGTTTTCAAATTGGACTGAAACTCATGCCCAGTAAAGGTCCAATCAGCTTCTCATTTTTAAGTTAGTCCTAACCAGTATCTTCTGGTGACTTCTAGAATGATCTAAAATGGCCCTTATATTTGCTCTGTCAGACACAGTGTTTTGTGTGTGAAGGTTGCAGAAAGAGGTACAGGTTTACTGCTTCTGTCATTCTCAAAGTTTATTTCTTGCTGTAAATCACTTATTTTCTGAAGGCATAAAGAGCACTGAGGCAGGCAGTCATTTTAGTAGATGCAGGGGTTTAATAAACACCCAGAACGTTCAAACCAGGCATCAGGGCTTCAGGTCTGTGACCGACCAACCCTGTGACCAGGAAAGTGTCCACAGGGATGTTTGTTTCCATATCAAGGGAGAAGGGATACCCGATGAGGGGGCCAGTTATATCAGGGTGTTAATGGATTCAAAATACAGAGCATCTGCTTGCAGCCCAGGAATAGTGAAGCCTGGTTTATGACAATATGCTTCTCTTTTGTTTCGGTAGCTATGTGGGCTCAGAAATGTACATTTCAAACATTCATAACATAATGCGCCTCTTGGCAGAGGATTCTGCAATTCCTACATTGACTAGCTCAATTCTAAAGTCTAATTTTCTGTGCAGTTTAGTCAAGTTTCTCCCGAATAACCACGTGACATGGAGCTAAAATGCTTACAATTATATTTTAGGTCTAAAGTCCCTGTGGAATTGTTTCCTCTTCCAAGAGTAAATGGAAAGACGTTCATAGAGTTTTGTTTTTTTATTTGAAGATTCTAGAAATGTTACCTGGTTCTTAGGAGACCCAGTGCTTGAAGCTAAATCACCCTTACAAGATTGACCAAAAAATCCATGGGAAGGTGTGGAAAAGTTAAGTGTAGCTTAACTTGCTTGATGTGTTTTGAGTGCCTGGGTGGGTTAAGTCACAGAATTTGCAGAAGGGGGACTGTTTCAGGATAGGAGAACTCCGGACGTGCACTTGTTAGACACCAGCCTGTCAAACCCATTCCCCTGCATTCCTGCAGCCACAGCACACCATCCCTGATGTCTTCCTCTGGATGCTCAGCAACAACAAGAGAGTGGCATACGCCCGCATCGCCTCCAAAGACCTGCTCTACTCCCCCGTCAAGGAGCAGATGGGGAAATACTGTGGAACCATCAAAACTCATTTCCTCAAAGTAAGTCTGCACTATTTTTGACTCAAAGATGGGAAATCTCTGCTTTTCCTGGGTTGTTCAGCATTTTTAGTGCCTGTCCATATCTCTAACTCTCCCCTAAAACTTTCAAAGGTCTGAGGACAACTGGCATACCCTGCCCCCTCTTGATTTAAGTTGTGATTCTGCAGACTGTCTTGAGGCTGAATATTTTCCAATTACTGTATCGCCAGACACATATAAATTTTCTCTTTTAATCTAGTGAGTGCACCTCAAGGTTACTTTAATTTTTAGTTCTTTGATTACTAGGCAGAAGGAACATTTTTATATTGGTCACCTCTCTGCTTCTTCTCTTGTGTAATTTGTCCATGGCAGTTTTGTTTTGTTTTCTCACATAAGTTCATCTGTATTTTCAAAATTGATTTCAAAGAAAATTATAAGAGAAGGGGTTTATATTTCACAGAACTGCTATTTCAGGATTGCTGGTGGCTTTAAATTGTAAAAATATGATAGTCTTTTCAACTTGAGTCCCTGCACCCTTTATAAAGACAGGGTCCCCCAATGCCTCATGAGTGGACCCCATAAGAAAAATCTCTGGATGGATTCTACTGTCTCTAACTTAAGGTTTGAGACTTTCTTAGAAACCCTGGGTATTTTACCTCTACTACAAAGACATTTCTATCGCAGAAGTAGACTTGAGCAAATATGGAGAAAGAGTGGTCTGAAGGCTTAACACTCACTTATGACTGATTAACTTTTTCCTAACTCTTACTAGACTATCCTGACAATTCTGGTTTGGATTTCTTGCTATAACATAATTATTCCCCTAATTCCCCAAAAGGAGGGTGAAAAGGTCAAAACCATGCCACGTGAAGGATGGATGGAGAGATAGCAATGCTTCAATGAGAAAATGTGATAGCATACTAGAGACCCTGAGGGTTTGTAGGGCTACGCATCACATGGACAGGCACATAAATAAGGCCGCCAGCAGCCAGGTTAGGGAGCCCCTGTGTGCCATCGGTGCTGGACTTTACTGCAGATGTGACTGTTAACTGTTGTAGGCAGAAGAGGCAGTGTGGGCTAATGGTTTAATTCTTGGGCTTTGAAATCAAGTGACTGTGGGTTGGAATTTGATTAGTTTGCTAGGGATGCTGTAACGAAATACCATGGAAAGGCTTAAACAACAGAAATTTATTATTTCACAGTTCTGAAGGCTGGAAGTCTGAGGTAAGATGTCATTAGGGCCATGCTCCCTCTGAAGATGATAGGGAAGGATCGGTTCCAGGCCTCTCTTCTGGCTTCTAGTAGTTTCTTGGCTGTGGCAGCAGACTTCCCGTCTTCACAACCTGCTCCCTGTGTGTGTCTCTCCCTGCATGGTGTTCTTTTTAGAAGAGCCCTTCTCGAGTTCAACCTTATCTTAACTATATCTTTAATGACCTTATTTCCAAATAGTGTCATATTCTAAGGTATTGTGTTTGGACTTCAACATGAATTTTGAGGGAATGCAATTTAATCCATAACAGAATTCCAGGGCTAATATTTATTAGCTGTGTGACCTTGGGTAAGTTACTTAGCATTTCTGTGTCTCCTGGTCTTCAGTCAAGTGGAGGTGGCGGTGAGGATTAAGTGGATAAACACATATACAGAACACAGAGTGTGCATCACCCAGAGTAATCACCCAATAAACACTGGCATTCAAGCAAATAGGCATCCAACGTCTAGAGGATGTTTCTGGAAGCGTGTGCCCCGTTCATATCCAGTGATGTGTTGGGGCTCTGTATGTTATTTTCTGTCATGTGTATAAAATGACTTTTAAACCCACCCCTGTAAAATTGTAACTGAAAAAGGAAATTTTTACCCAAGTTTTCACCACAAATATCAGGATTTTTTCTTCAGCTTTCTCCATCCAAGAAATTCTGAGATCACAAGAAACATTTATCTTAAAAACAGCAAATCATTTCCAAAGGCGCTATGCTAAAAATACTGCTCCCTCCTGAATATTTTGATGTATCCTGGCATTATGTAAAATTAGAACAAAGAACAGCTGTCAAATAAAGCCAGAGGGTAGACATAACTCAGGATTGAGAACCTTGGCTCACTTCTTTATCTATATTTTCCTTCTGCCATTGGGATTGCTTTGGGTGATAGCTTTGTGAATTTTGTTGAATTCAATTGTACCGACATGATAACACATCTTGATAAGATGATTCAGCAAAACTATTTTTAGTCCTGCTTTGATTGCCAACCCAGCTTTTAACTCACTCCCTCCACCTCCCTTTAGGCCCTTTTCTTCACTGAATTGGTAAATCTGAAAATAAAAAAGCAAGAGCTGCACCAGGGAGACAAAATCTTCACATACCTGCCACTTACTTCGGTGTATTAGCTGAGAATTCGGAAGTGCAGTAAGACAAAGGACAGAATGTAAATCTAAAAATCTCAGGCCAGAGTTTTCTCAAAGTTTATTATATGTAACACATGTCCTTTGAGTGGTTCCAACAACATTCCTTGTTCAAGCACATTTAGGAGGCTGCAGTTGAATCCCTCTCTTGGAGTTTCACAGTTCCCATGAAGGCTCTGAGAAGTCCTGCAGTCAGGAAACATCATTGACTTTTGCAACCCAAACTTGCCAATCTTATTCATCTAAAATAGCTATTTATAAATTTTTAGGGAATCTATGGTTCTTAGGGGCCCAGTTTGGGTAATATTCATGTAAGGGAATGAAGGTGACTCATCTGAAGACACATGGTTGAGTATTGGTAAATCTGTAATGGCAACCAGGCTTTCGTGGTCCCTGGTTCCATGATCTTTCTTTTTCTCTAAATTAAATGTATTCATAATGCTAATCAGCCCAACCCACCATCCCATAAAAGCCTGGGTCTTTCCCTTCAGTCTCATGCCCACAGTGCCCCTAGTGGCCGAAGGGCAGGAAAGGACATTCATTCATTACCAAAAGGAAACTCTTCCTGTGCACTTAGAGCCCAGCCAGAAGGGGATTCTCAACCTTCCTTTTCTTATTTCCTTGAGTCTCCTCTCTGTGCCAGTCTACCTGGCGTTAGCTCTAGAGATCCCATCTCACTCTCAAACCCATCTCTTCCCTGTCTTCTGCTCCACGCCCCTCAGCCTCTTCTTCTCAGGGCTCTAGTTTTCCATCCAGCTTTCCCCAGGATGTAGAAAATGGTGTCTGGGTCCTGCCACAGAGGGAAACCTCCACAAGGCAAACAGCTCTTTCTCTTACTAATATTGATCAAAATACTTCAACATAGTTCTTGTGAATTACCATCTTTCTCTCCCTTTTCTGACTTGCCAAGATTTCTCTTCCTTTTAAGCTGGCTGGCATTCACCAGGACCCCAAGGGAGGTGGGGGGGAGGGGCTGAGAGAGTTGAAGACTGTAGCTTTCTGTCTCATGCAATTTTTATACATTGATGATCATAGTTTTTCAATGTACTTTTGCATTCTTTAATTATTTTTCTCTGTTTTCCCCCCCTGCCTTACCATGCTATTCTCAAAAAGGAAGAAGTCGTTATGTTTGGCTGGGCTACAGGGGCTCATGAGAGAGAGGAGGGTGGGGAAGAGGGGAGGCAGGGAAGGGCACACCCAGGCTGGAAATGCCTGTGAAGCTAAAACTGGGACGCTGCCACTGAAAGCACCCAGGGAGGTGCTTGATGATGCTGCGTGCGTTCCAACTTGGATACTTGAGCGAGATTCTGCAATTTCAATTTGTGTATTACACTTTGTTTTTAAAATTTATTTTTATTTTTAATTAAATTTATTGAGCTGACATTGGTTAATAAGATTACATAGGTTTCTAACGTATAATTCTATGATAGATGATCTATATATCGCATTTGTGTGCCCACCACCCAAAGTCGGATCTTCTTCTGTCAATTTGTGTATTTTTAAAAAGATGCATAACCCTGCAAACTTAAGAGTGCAACAGTGGTTCTTGTGTAACATCTTCACAAGATGTTAGCTGAGTTTTTGGTTCTAACCATGAACACACACACACACACACACGTTTTCATAGCAATAGAAGTGAATGATGGTCTTAATGCAACATAGTAAGTTAGGAGTCTTCGTACTTAAATACTTAAAACTGTGGCTGGTAGACCAGCAGGCTCATCACCAACAAAGAAATGCAGAATCTCAAATTCTTCCCAAGTCTTCCTGAGTCAGAATTTACATTTTAAACAGATGCCCAGGTAGTTCTCATGTACTGATACACATGTCAGTGTGTGAGGAGCACTGGCTAAGAGGATGGGTTCCGAACGAGGTATAGCAAGGTTGAGTCTTGGCTCTAGCCCTGCCTCACTCTGTGACACTGGACAATTGTCTTAACCACTCAGAACCTTCATTTCTTCATCTTTAAAGCACACACAATAAAAGTATCTACTTTATAGTCATCATGAAGATGAATGATTATCTATGACTTCTTAGAAGTATGCAGGTAATAGGACATTCTGTGTGTATGAGGGAATGTTAGACCAGGGTCTGGACAATGTACATGCTCAAAGCATGTGAAATATTATTACTATTATTAGTAGTAGTAAAATAAATAATTCAACAAATATTTACTAAGTGCTTTCTGGATGTGAAACCCTCTTTTGGGCATTGGGGACATCACTGTGAACCGACAGACAAAATTCCTGTGATATCTACAAATGGCGGAGGGATTGCTTTTATTAAAACAAAATAACCTTAGGCTTTCAATAAATATTTGTTTTATTGAACAAGTGTTCAGTGCATTTTAGCTGTTGTTATTATTATTATTATTATCATAGAAGCGATGAATTGAGATTTGTCTTATATATTTTAGAATTATGAGTTGCAGAGTGGTTGTCTTTACCAAGAACAAAATGACCTTTTTGCTATTTGTAAGCTGAATAAAGAATGCTTCCCACTCCCTAAAGAATCAAATCCAGACTCCTCCACATAAGCAGCAGGACTCTTCAGCCTCGCCTGTGTCATTCTCTGTCCCAGCTTTTCTTTTCTGCCCACCGTCAGTTCCTGCCCCCTCTTCGTCCATGCACTCCCTCCTCCTGGGCTGCCTTCTCTACTGGGCCGCCTCCAAAGCACTGAGCCTTCAAGGAAGGGTGGAAGTACCTACAGCTGCTTCTCCGCTCCCGTAGCATTTCCTCTCTTACCCTTGACTTTGAACGTGAGTAAGTGAATGCAGGCTGCCTTGCTTGTCTAGATGCGAGCTCTTGGAGGGGGTCAGGACTATGTCTTAGTCACTGTGATGCCCTCCTGACCCCACTCCCTCAGCAATTCCTGGAGGCACTTGTAGTAGTTGCTGAACTGAGTTGCTCAAAATCCACCGAAGGCACCTGCAGAGCAAGATAAGAAAGTGAACAACTCTGCTCAGTTTTGGATTCAGGGGTTCTCCATGGGTGCCTTGGAAAAGTCAGAGCAAGTTGTAGCCTCTCATAGTAGGATTTCGTGATTCTCTATGGAAAAGAAGGAGTGCAGAAGAAAGAGGGCAATACTGATAGGCAATCCCAAGAAACACTAAGAAATGGGCACTTAGAAGGGTCAACAAAATCTAGAGAGGTTGCCATTCTCAGCGTGAAAGCCTTGCCAGCAATCTTGAAAGTAGCCAAGCCTGGGGCCTGGGACTCCTTAGATGGGGCAAAGAGTCTCCTAATCCTGGTGATGGGTGAGGGATTAGAAACCACACTGCATGAGGAAGGGGTGAAGGAATGAGAGGGATTTAGCTGGGAAGAAAGAATATGGTAGATCAGGTAGGTTCCTTCAAGCACACGGAAACCTGGCCTAGAGAGCATTTGAGTTCCTCTGAACGAAGCAGAGGGAGAGGCTGTTGCTGGAGGTCAGGCACGTGGAAGATCTGGGAAGGGAGATTTCAGCTCAGTCTGGGAAGAGGCAGGCGGTGGGGGTTCGGAGTCTGGAGTCTAGGTCTGAAGTCATCCCTCTCGGGTTTAAGTCCTGGCTCTGTCGCTTAAAAGCTGAGTGTTCTTTGGGAACTTACCTAACCTCTCTGAGCCTGAGTTTTTTCATCTATAAAATGGGGGCAATAACCATACAAACCTGTGAGATAGAAATGACCCAAGGCTCAGAAGTGCTTAACACAGCGCCTGTTCGAGCTTCAGGCCCCATTAACCCTGAATCCACCTCTGGAACTGTGCATCGTGACAACTGGGGTCATTTAATGGTCTCATTTTGCTATGCAATGAGCTCCTGAGAACTGCTCTCTGAACACCTCCGGGTATGTCCCTCGGTCCCCAGGAAGGACTTCGTTGAAGCAGGGCCCATAATCGGCTCTTTCCAATGAGGTGAGCTTCCTTGTGACCTTTCCGCAGCTTCCTGGAAAACGTCCAGCTGGCTGGTCAGTGCAAGCGAAAGTGGACGTGTACCTGTGGCTGGGCCCTGCCAGACACTCTAGTGCCATGTTGGACAACTTGCCAGCCGGCTATGAAGCAGAAATGCCCCCCAAAGTGGCTGTCCCCACTCAACCTCCAGCCAACCTGATCTACAAAGGTACGATGCCCTCTGGGCAAAGGGGGTTGTTAGATGTCTCTGGTGGCTTCTAAGAAAACAGTGAGGAGGGAGACATGCAGTGAGGAGGGAAGGTCAACTTATTTGCCTTCTTTTCAGTTTTCTTCCTTACCTTCCGATGTCTGATCTAAAAGAATAAAGTGAAGTCATTAAACACATCTGAAATGAAAATTTATATATTTTTGTTGATGGAAAGAAAGCAATTTGAGTTTCTTTGTAGACAGACTATATAAGTCGAGTTTGGATTTTAAGAGAAAGATGTGTTTTCAGTAAATGTCAGTAAGTTCTAGTGTTGACATGACCTGAGGAATTAAAGCAGATTTTCCCTTTTGCACAGCACTGGGGTTTTGATCCAGCAACAGCAGGCATTTACATTTCCCAGGAAGGACGCAGTGGAAACTGGCATCAGTGAGGTCACACATCTTTCTCTAGCTTGCTTTTTGACTTGGCTGCTTTTAGAAATTGCTTTATGTAATCCTTGCTCCTTTGTAGACATTTTCACAAATGCCATCATGTTTACATTTTCATGTAATTTAAATTTTGCTATAAATATAAATGCCTTACGGTTGCATTTTGCTTCTCTTTCCAACTCGCTTCAGTTTGCAGGGTCTCTAGCTGCTGTATTCAGATAGAGCAGAGTAATTTTACTTCACTTAGCCGGAGGCTGAGATTTGAATTGAGCCAGTGTTGGAAACCCGGGAGAAAGTCTGCACACCCAGGTTTCCTGTGTTGCATAGGCTCCTCTGATGTTGGTTGACCTTGACTATTAAGGGCTCAATAGAGAAGACAAGCTTCTGGAGAGAGCACCTACCACACGCCAAGCATTGTGCCCTACATTTTATACAGAAGATTTAATTTATTTCTCACATCAACCCTGGGTGGTTCCTTCATTTTACAGAGAAACAAAGGATGTATCAGAGATGCTTAGGAATTGCCCCCGAATCACACAGCTAGTAACTGATGGAGCAAAAGTCTCCAGACTTTATTTCCACTGCTTTCCATCCTGTCCTTAGAGTTTTATCTTTGGGTGAAAAACACCCACACCGGTTGATGTTATTTCTATAGACACCACCTCTAGGGACCCAGGGTACCTGGACATATTTGTTGTCCCAGCTACGAACAATTCAGACGAGAGGAAAGATTTTCCCCACAGTTTGTGACCTTCTGCAGCATGTTTTCATGCAGCGATCTAGTTGACTTTCTCTGCTGTGAACTTTTGAACTCTTCCTTGGGCTTCCCCACTGAACCCTGACCTGCCCCAACCTGCAGCCCTCTCCCTGCCTCCCATCCCATCAAGCAGGTGTGCTCGCTCCTGCCTTCCGGCTCCCATGTCCTCTGTCTGTTTCTTTCCCAGGACACTTAGCCCTGACCCTGTCACCATGGTTGCGGTGTTTGTGTCATCTTTTGCCTTCTCCATGGAGCTCCCCAAGGGCAGGGGTTTCTTAACTACTTCAGAGACCAGAACTGTACCTGGTATATGGGAGGTGCTCAAAATGACCTTGGCTGGCTGAATGGCTTAGTGGACGGCTCAAGGCTTTATTGACTTTATTAAAGCAAAAACTATTTGTGGAGAAGACCCTTTCTCTCTCCCTCCACACACACGCATGTGCTCACACACACGCACACACACACACGCACACACCAGTGGAAACAGAAGAATTGCTTGGAATTAAAATGTGGTATTTTATTCTTTATTTATTTCTGATATTTTTTTATTGTTGACAGTATTACAGATGTCCCCCATTCCCCTCCCTTCCCCCCCCGCCCAGCTCTTATCAAAATGCGGTGTTTTGGAAAGAGAAGGTGATTTTGGAACCTGACAGGAATGAAACCCAGCCTGCGGCATTTTTTAGTTCTGTAAACTTGGAAACCTATTCTAGCCTTTTGGGTCATTTTCCTCATCTGTAAAATGGAGATGATTATATATATTTCACAGGGTTGTCCTGAAGATTAAAGCCCACAGTGACAGCACCAAAGAGAGTGCCAGGCCCCCAGGGACCCACCAACATGACCTCTTTACTGCGTCCATTTCTGTCTCAGGGGCCCTGGTACTGTGGCTCCTTTGTCCACCCCTGGATGTACCTACAGACAAGCGTTGCACACAGACACCCACAATGTACCTAATGCCCCTGAAAAGCCGCTAACTCCTGCCCTTTCTGCTGTCTGTCCACAGACCGGCATATCTTTCAGCTGAGAGCGCACATGTACCAAGCCCGGGGCCTCATCGCAGCCGACAGCAGTGGCCTTTCAGACCCCTTTGCCAAGGTCACGTTCCTTTCCCACTGCCAGACCACAAAGGTAACAAGGGAAGCCCGCCGGCTTCTTCCTGCAGCCTCAGCCGACCCACAGCAGACCCCAGGAACGAAAAGGCAGGGCCACGCTGCAGATTCCCGTGTCTCTGGCTTCATAGGTGTTTCAGACTCAAAAGCACGTGTGCAAGGAAGGACAGACATGCGGCCTACTGTTCCAGTGTGACCCATTTTCTTGAAGCCAAGGCATCAGGCTCCTCAGGCAAAGGAAGAGGGGCGGGGAAAGCAGAACCTGGTACCTAGAACTCCTGCTGAAGTGCCAAGCACAAGGCCAAGCTGGGTGGGGAATGAACAAACTGGAAACCAGCACACAGACAACCACAGGAGGCTTATGGTCCAGCTGTACTGAGGGTCTTGATAGGGGGGAAGGCTTTCTGACTTTGTGGACAGGAAGCCTAGGCTTGGCAGTGTCGCTTTCCACCTCCCAGCTAGGGAACCTGGCATACTTTCAACATCTCTGCAAGTCAGTCTCTCTCTCCTGCAAAATACCGCTTCCTGATGGATGCTGTGAGGCCTGGTGCAGACAGGCCCACACCTGTCCCCTCTGTGCTCACTCCCTTTTCTGGACACCGAGTGCTGAAATATGAGGAGGGTCCCTAATCAACACAAGTCCACTGGGCTTGTTCATAGGATTGTATTCACTAGGGTTTACTCTGTTGTCTGAGGGTGCACTGTTCCGAGAGAGGGGGGCTCAGTAAAGGATTTGCCTGTCTCTGGGAAGGAAGACACAGGACACAGAGACCTGAGGTTTCATTCTAGCTCATCTATTTTCTAGCTGCATTTACTCACTAAGCCTTGGTCTGTCATCTTAAAATAGGGCTATTGTAAAGAAGCAAAGAGTTAAGGGAGTAAGTGATTGATGAATGGTGCCCATTATGTTGGTTGATGTTATGAGGGCTGGCATTTCTTTCCAAAATGAGGCCATGATCTGGGTGACGGGTGAGATTGCATTTTGATTTGTGACCACAAACCAAGATCATAATGTGCACCAGTGTTGCATCCACCTCACCAGCACCTGTGGAGTGTCTGTTCTGTGCCAGGCGCCATGCTGGGCTCAGGGGAGCGAGGGGACCAGACCCTGCTCCTGTGCAATGTGTGATCTGGGCGTGGAGACAGGCTTCCCTCTGGGCAGAAGAGTCAGCTACACTCTGATGAACCCCAAAATGCTGGGCCTCCAAGAGGTGCTGGAGAGAGGGCTTAGCTTTGTCTAGGAGGGAAGTCAAGAGAGACCTCAGAAGGAAGTGACTCCATTCTAAAGAATGAGCGTGAAAACAAGGAGAGTGCAGGATTCTTTCTTTTCTCTGTCTTGAGAGGTAGCACGCAGTGCAGTAATTAAGAGTCTAGACTCTGGAGCCACATTGCCTGGGTTCAAATCCAAGTTCTTCCATTTATTAGCTGTGTGATCTTAAGCAAAATCCTCTCTGTCCTCAATTTCTTCACCTGCAATATACGGCTGATGACACTGTGTATATCTCTTAGGTATATACATGTCATCATCCAGGACAGTGCTTTGCCTATCAGAGCTTCTATGTGACTTCATTGTCACTGAGGCTTCCTGCAAGAGGGAGGGGGATTCTCTGAGGGTGGGCCCCTGGGATCCTCCTCTGCCAGCCACAGCTATGGAATCCAGGTGCTCAGAGGTGATCGCAGAGATCAGTGTGTGCGTGTGCATGTGTGTTGGGGGGGTTTGAATTTGTTCCCTGGGCTACCATGTGATTATCCTTCTGTTTTGTATCTCCATATAGTACCTTCATTTGATTTGGACCCATATCCCAAAGGAACAGATGGCATTTATTTATCAAATAATCCTTTGAAAGGGAAAACAGGTTCTGTTAAGCCTGGACTCTGCCTCCATACTTTGAACCAAGTACCTAATTCTTGTTAATAATAATAGCTGTCATTTACCAAAAGCTCCCCACATGCCAGGCGTGATGCTGAGCATTCTAAATGCATTGATTGCTACACCCCATTGCAGCCCCAAAGTGGATGTTATTAGTGCCCTTATTCTGCAGATGAGGAAGGCAAAGTTAAGGGCCTCTCTGTCCTCAATTTCTTCAGAAGAAATTCTGGTAGAAGATGGTAGAGCCACAATGGATAGCCAGGTTGGTCCAATTCCAAAGTTACTTTGCTTAATTGTTCTGCTTCCATTTTGATAAGAAAGGAATCCAGTTTCCCTCTCCTGTTTCAGTGTTGTGCTGCATCGGAGGGACTGGTCTGTGTGTGACAGTCCCCCTTTCCTACTCTTTATGATGGGGAAAGCTCTAGCTTGGGGTCCCTGCAGCCATATCTGAGCTCCTCCGGTTCACCTGGTAGTTCTAGTCTCAACTGGCCACATGGAGCCCAGGGAGAACAGTCTCTGAAGGGCCAGGCCTGCAAACCAGTCCTCTATAAAGTGACTTAGCGGTACAAAATGTTTTAGAAGGGAATCTAGTTATTCCAGATGTCACTGAGGACGTGAGACTTAGAAACCTGTGGTGACTGAAGGATAGATAAAGGAAAAGGGAGACAGATCCTGGAAAGAAAGGCTTTGGCAATAGCAGGGGAGAGGTACTAATTGGTTAAGAGGAAGTCTTAGAGGAGTTGAGGGCATCTTATAGGGTGAAGAGCATGAAACCTGAGATTTCAAACAACCAGACCGATGCTGCGTCCTAAGGACATGGATGGTCTTTTGCTAGACACGAGTACCCCAGGGCACCAAGACTGATACATAGTAGGTGTTCAGTAAATGTTTACTCATTTATAAAAGAGTGTTGGTAGGGTGGAGCAGGGTGGGTGACAAGCACTTAGTGAGCACCTACTGTGTTCCAGGTACTTAATATGCATTATCTCAGACAATGGTTATAACAACTCTATGAGGTTTTAGTGCCATTTAAGTGAGGTAAACTGTGTCAGAGAGGTTGAATCACCTGTCCAAGTTGAATGTAAGGCACCCATGTATCTCACTCTTTCTTTAAAGTTTTGGCAAAGTGGAACTATAACCTCCCAAATAATGTCATTTAACATTATAATAGTGCATGACTCCTTAAGGAAGCCCTGAAAAAATGAGGCTAGTGGTGGGCACCTTTGGCAGTAAAGTGGAAGAATATATTTTTGTTTGGGTGAGACTTAACAGACCACTTGAAGGTGACCTTGGTCCCTTTACTCATGGAAACAATCCTGGGGATAAGCCAGTATCTACTCATTCATTCATGCAAATAGCTACAGAGCTCCTGCCATGCACAGGATGCTGTGTTAGCAGTGAATACTGTGCCTAGCACATTGTAGGTCCTGAATAAATATATGTTGAGTGAATAAATGATAATGACTGAATGAATAAATGAATGCTGAACTCTGGAATCTTATCAAGTGGCATTTATAGGCCATAGTGCCAAGAAATACATCAAAAATATTTCTGTAGGAAAGACACTGTGGTTAAAACACGTGGTTCTTTGTGACCCAGACTAGCTTTGTGTTGCAACCCAATAACTCCTGTTTATAGGTTGTTTGAAACCATTCATTTTTTTGTCCAAAAAGTTGAGATTTTATCTGAAATGTTATGTCAAAAATATTACTGTGTCTGAGGCATAAAATACTCTAAAACCAAATAAGCAACAAAGGAAGGAAACTGTGGAGTGCACACCAATTTTATGACTCAGCTAAAGAAGAGCAATAAAAAATTATTTCGTGACCAACTTGCCAATGATTTCATGCTGTGTCTAGAGATGGCACTTGATGTAAAATTCTAAGATGACAATTTTATTTGGGCTTTGAGCCTGGGCAGTTATTCAAGGGCAGATCTCTCTCTGATTCCTCCTGGGGTGAAAGGTGAGAAGTGAAGGTGCAGTTCAGAGGTGGTGTGGAAATTTCCCCGGGACCCCACAGCTGCTGTGCCTTGTTCACCTGTGAAATCACCCATTTGCCTGCACAGCCTGGAAGAGAGGAAGATGTAGCAATGCCCTCTTTCTAGGACTGGCCTCACATAGTAATGGTGCAGAGTCCACCCATTCTGCAAAGAACCTTAGCCCTTAGCTCTGTGAAACTCACATGGTTCCAGACATCCAGTCAAACCATAGAGGATATAAGCCCAACTACAACCTCCCTTCTGAAGGTACCACTTAAATGGCCTGACAGGGGCCTGTGAGCCACTTCGAGGTGAGCCACCCATGGTTCTGGACCAATTATGCAAGTTGTGGTCCTTCTTTGTCCTTGGGTTCCTCTATCTGAATAATGGGTGCAGTCAACTGCCAAGATCACAGTTTGCTATGGTAGAGAGAATGATGTCATGAAAAATGGTGAGGGTTATTTTGAAGACCCTGGTCTCTTCAATGCAGTCAAGTAAATATCCACAGAACCATAGAATTCAATAGAAAAATGTTAGATTTAATTCCCACTTTAGAGTATTTGATGACAAAATTTTATTTGCTAACAAGTGAAGAATCACCAGATACCCCCATCCTCAGTCTGATCTTCCATAAGATGGAGATAATACTAGCATCTACTTGGTGAAGCTGCACGAGTTTAGCAGCCTGGGCTTTGGTACCAGAGATCCAAGTTGAATCTCAGTTCTGCCCCTTGCTGGCTCTGGGCAAGTGAGCCTCAGTTTTCTGGTCTGTAGCCTGAATAGATAAGTGTATGCATCTCCCAGAAACAGCGCATGTAAAATGCAGCAGCTCGCATGTAGTAAGTGCTCAATAAAGCGTAGTCTTATCATCACAGCACTACTGTAAGGATTGAGTTGAAATGATGTATGCACATAGCGTATTAAACATTGTAGGGGTGCCTGGCCGGGCATAGCAGTTGAGCGTCGACCTAGGATCCAGGCGATCGGGGTTCGATTCCCGGTCAGGGCACATGCCCGGGTTGTGGGCTCGATCAATTACTCTCTCATCATTGATGTTTCTATCTCTGTCTCCCCCTNTGTATTAAACATTGTAGGGGTGCCTGGCCAGGCACAGCAGTTGAGCGTCGACCTAGGATCCAGGCGATCGGGGTTCGATTCCCGGTCAGGGCACATGCCCGGGTTGTGGGCTCGATCAATTACTCTCTCATCATTGATGTTTCTATCTCTGTCTCCCCCTCTCCTGTCCTCTCTCTGAAATCAATAAAGATATATTTAAAAAAAAAAAAACACAAAAAAACATTGTAGGGGCTCTACTCCTGAAACTTATGTAACATCTGCAAGGCAGGGAATCTTTTCATCCACCGGCATCTAGTACTTAGTAGTGCATTGGTTTACATTGTCCCGTGAAAGTTGAATGAGTGAGCAGTGATGACGAGGATGTGTTCTCTCTGCCATCCATACCTATCTTTTGAATGGACCTTGGAACCCCTGCACCCCAACTGAATGATCATTTGCTTTTCTTTTGGCCCCACCTTCCAGGTCATTTCCCAAACCCTCTCCCCAACCTGGAACCAGATGCTGCTGTTCAATGACCTGGTGCTGCATGGAGACCACAAGGAGCTGGCAGAGTCCCCGCCTTTGGTGGTGGTGGAGCTCTATGACAGTGACGCGGTGGTGAGTGTCCCCAGACAGTGCTGGCTGTGCCTCGCTAAAAATGCTGTGTTCTACTAACTTTCTTTATTTAACCAGCCTGTTAATGCTCAGGATCTAGATGTGCCTGGCAGCAATCCTGACCGGGGAAAGCAATGAATTACAGAACCAGGAAAATTGGTGGTGGTCATTTGTTTCACTGAGGGTTTTTTACTTAGATTTCCCTTTGGATTGCAATTAAAATGGGATCTGGGTGACAGAAGTTCATTTGACTCACATGGCTTCAGTGATAGGATACTTTATAGAGCAACCCCCATATGTGCCCAGCCCCCAGCTAGTTCTGTGCCCTATTGCTGCTTAGTAAAAATGTTCATGCCTTTAGAAAGCNGCCAGCCCCCCAGCCAGTTCTGTGCCCTATTGCTGCTTAGTAAAAATGTCCATGCCTTTAGAAAGCAGGAGGTGTTTACTGACCTTGCCTGGCTGGAAGGGAATGAATGGGTATTGTCACTAATTCAGCCTTTGTAACTGGGTCTTTATTTTTTTTGTTGGTTGTTGGTTCCAAAACCTGAAACAACACATTTGTCTCTATCCCATTTCTTTTATGATGTTAGTTAGCCAAACCGCTTCCTCTCCAAAGATGTCCGTGTTCTGAAATGTTGGATAGATTCAAGACCTTACTGGAGATTTGTTTAAAATTACAAATAAAATTGCTTTTAGATTAAGAAGTCTAATTGAAAAGCAAAAGTTTATTTGCTTTGATGTCTCTACCTCCTTGGGAAGTTGCAGAAGCACAAATATACTAAGGATAACAGTTGTTCAAAAAAGCCTTCCTAAAACTGCCTCACCTCCTCACCTCAGTGCATCCCAGCCAGCAGCCCTGACCTTGAACCAAGGTCAGGAGGAAATTAGGCTGGGGAAATTGTAGAAGGTGAGCAGGCACCTTGGAGAGCACAAATCACCCTCTTGCTTCCTAGAGAAAGAAATGGACACCCAGAAAGGTCAAATGCCTTGTTCAAGGTCACAGCTAGCTGGAGGCAGAGCCAGAACTTGAACCTAGTTTCCCGAGTCCCTCTTTCCTGCACATGTGGGAGTGATTGGTGTAGCTGTACGCCTTTAGAAACACACATTCTACCCCTCTACCCCACTACCTCTCCCTCTCTCTTTCTCTCTCTCTCTCTCTGTTGGTGCCATCTCACAGCTGTAAGTTGGAGCTAGATATATATATTTATGGAATGTGAGTGCTACTCTTGGGCATATAGTATAGATTTTCTGTAGACATAGTCACAAAATAAGCACCTTTTCAATTTTGTTCCCAACAACATGGTTCCAATACTAAGTTTTTGTTGTTTTTTTTAAACCAGTAACAACAATCGAGCATCTTTGAAAGCTCCCCCTGAACCAGCTGGCTCCATGGATTTCCCTTGGCCATCCTCTGCTGTTAGGACTCCTTCTAGATCTCCATTCCATTCTTGTGGGCTCCATCCCAAGCCAAGCCCTTCAAAGAAAAACAAGCTTCCATTCTCACATCTAAAGGAAAAGGAAATGTAGGAGAGAAAACAAATCATGCAAGTGTTGAAATTTCCTCCTGGAGTGATACACATGGACACGCACAGATTCAGTTTACACTGCAGGCTGTGGCTGCCTGGGCCCACAGTCCTGCAGGGATGGTCAGATCATGAGGTTCTGACTCTGCCAGAGGCAACTTCAGTCTAGAGCTTTCTCTCTTTACTTAGTGCCTGTGCCCTCATTAGGGCCTGCTGGCTGTCTAGGAAATGAGTTTATGTTTGGCAAATTTGTTGCTTGGGTTTATATTGACTCTTTTGTTTCCAGGACTAATTTTAATAATTCCCAGCTAGATCCTGAACAAAATAAGTATATGGCACATTACTCAGCTTCCTTACCTGTACCCAGATTAGGAACAGGTCTGACCCTACTAGTGGATACCAGCAGGCAGCTTTGTTTCCGAGGGCAACTTAACTAAATCCCAATTCCACCTCACCCAGGCTTCCTCTTACAGCCAGGAATGCATGCGCTGGTTCATGAGTCCAGAGACAACGAAGCCATGCAAATGCTCAAATCCAGCTGCAGCCAGAAGGGCCTGGGGGTGCTGTCCTTGGACTTCAGAAGTCATTAATCCAACAGCTTTACTCAATAAATATGTAATGAGTGCCTGCCCTGTGCCAGGGGACACAGCAGAGAATAAGACAGGCAAACTCTGCCCGTATGGAGCTTACATTCCAGGAGTTCCCGAGATAAACAGCAAGCAAAGCAGCCCCTGGGGGTTGCTGCTCCTGGGGGAATGTGGGCCCTGGCTCCTGAGAGCAAGCGTGGAGCAGAAGCAAGAGATGGCGCCATCTAATACTTCTTAGACTTACAGGTCACATCCATCCATACATATAAAACTACTTTAACAACTGCTTTTACTACCAAGAAAAATGGGGTAGAACTGCTCTGCCACTTAACACACTGACCTTAATATCATCATCATCGTCGTCATCATCACCTTCATCACCTTACCCTGTGTTGAGCACTCATTGTATACCAGTCACTTGTGCAAAGCACACACGTCATTACATCAACCTCCTGGCCTTATTAACAGGCAGTACTTTTAACCCCTCTAAGCATAAGGCTCAAAAAAAGGTTGTGTAAATGACCCAAGGCCATAGGGTTGCAGGACTCCAAAGCTCAAGGTCCCGACCACAATAGTTTCCTGCCCTGGAGAGCTTTTGGGATGTTTGGTGTCAACTTATTTCTCCTTTTTCCCTTCAAGTCTACCCTAGATGATTATTTTAACTTTGTGCCACTGAGCTCTATATGCAGAGGAGAGAGATAACCCCTAAGATAGTCTCGGGCCAGGAAGTCCCTAAGGTGACCCACTTGGAGTTTTCCCTGGGAGCCCAAGCCTTGGAAAGGTATATGAGAACTGTAGCAAGAGGGAGACACGAGGCCGATGATTTTGTGAAGATTATTTACAAAATTCTACTGATGCAGGTCAGACGAGGTAGGTGGCAATCAGGGCCGAAAATTCATTTCTTTTCTGCCTCAGGGAAAGCCAGAATATTTGGGTGCCACGGTGGCTGCTCCTGTTGTGAAGCTGGCTGACCAGGACTATGAGGCACCCAGGCTGTGCTATCACCCCATCTTCTGTGGGAACCTCTCTGGAGGGGACCTCCTTGCCGTGTTCGAGCTGTTCCAGGTAAGTGAAGTAGAAATGACACCTGCGCTAGTCATTGTCTCTCTAGTCTACCTGGCTAGAGAAGCAGAAGCGAACTTCAGTGAAACTGCCTGGCCCCTCCCTGCTGTCCTGTGTCTGGAGGTGTCTCCTTCTGGGGATCTGGGAGGCGCCACTTAAGAACACAGGCTAGTCCCAGAGCCCCTGTCTACCATTTAGAATCCCAGGATGAAATATTCTTATGGGTTTAGTCAACAATGCTTGAGTAGCCCTATGTACAAGTCCTTGAGTGCCCTGCAGACCATGAGAGATGAGCAAACATTTGTGGGACTTACCATGTGCCCGGTGTGGGATTTGCAGCCTCATGTACCTTTCATTACACTAGACCTCCTTCAGTCGTGTTGAGATAGGTATTATGATTCCCATTTCACAGATCGTAACTGAGGGTTAATGTGATTGACTGGCTTACCTGATCATGCAGCTAGTTGGTGATTGGCCTGAGAGCTGTACTTAGACCTTCAAAGCTTTTTGCTCCTTGTACCATATCACACAGTATCCTAAAGATAAAAAGCTCTTAATCCGTCCCCCTAGAACATAGGGATAAACACATGCCTTGGAAGAATTCTTCAGAAAGCAAAGACAGGAAACTTGGGGAGGGAAGCTGAGACTCTCGAGTCTGGCTGCCTGGTAGAAGACCAAATGCGACATGGAGAAGACCTTGGAGAGAAGTGACCAGGTGGGCCTCCGTCAGAGAGATTTCTCTCCTAGACTATTTCATTCACTGAGGGCAGGTGGCTCTTTACCTTTGGGTTAGACCAGTCCCTCTATAGGTAAACCTGTTTTTCAGAAATCCCAATTTCTAAAACATCTCACTGGGTAGAGAAACTAGAAGACAAGCATTCCTAACACAGACAATAAGAGAGTGAAGGTGATGGACTCATTGCTGGTGGAAATAGGGTTCTTCCGTGGAGACATGAGAAACACATTTAGGGGACCCACACCTATGAGGATTTAGCAAGATTTATTGGAGCAAAAATAAAAGGCTGTCCCCAGGTGCCCAGTGTCCCTTCTGCAACCAGATGACCGGCCTCCGTATCGCTGTTGGAAAAGTCCTGGGCCTGGTGAGTGTAGGTGCCCACCAGGGGGGTCAGGATCCAGAACTGTAATGCCATCACCCTGGCTCTGGTGGTCCAGCACAGTCTCTGCTCCTGTCCGGCTCCTGTTCCCAGCTGTGGTCCAGCTGGCACTGTGCTGCCACACCCAGGCCTGCCCTGGGGCCCATGCGTGGAGCCACAGGGCTGCTACAGAGAGAGAACATTTGAAAACAAATGGACAAATGGACACGTGCTATGTAGGTGGGCCTTTGTTAAGCTTTGATTATATTACCTCCAGTTTGGGAGAGAGCAGACTTTCTTTCAGACTAACCAATCTCTTTCCTAATCCCTCTCAGGCTTGTGCTGGGTCCTCTGCCTATCCAATCCGGTCTTTTCCCTGGGTTTTCCAGGCTAGACTCTGCCTTTATGTCGCCGTTTTGGCTCCTACTGTGCACACCTCAAAGTTTTGCTGTGTCATCTTGATTTCTACTGCACATGTGCCTAACAAAGGAATTTCCGCCACTCTCCACCCCCTCCCCCATAATCCCTCTACTGGACTGGTTGTTCCCTGGGTAGATTCTTTCTGCCCATTAGGGGATTGCTCAGGATTAAGTCCCTTTGGCAGAGGATGCCGCAGTCCCCTGCGGAGTCTGTGAATTCCTAGTGAATGAGGCTTAATGTCCAGTTCGGCTCCCTAGATTATTAGACTTAATGTCTGATTCCATTTGCTCCCTTCCCATATTAATAACTAGCTAACTATCTATGCTAACAGAATGGATCCCGTGCGTATAGAGCTCACTTCCATCACTTCTTAGAGTACGACCTTGGGTGAGCTACTTAACCTCTCTGTATTTCTCCTGCAGAGTGAGGATGGTAATCTACCCAAAGTCCCTGGCATGGAATAAACACTCAGTAAATTCTACCTGTTCTTTTAGGAGTAATATTGTTATGAAATGGAACATTAAAGCAAAATATAGTGAAAAGGAAGTTTAAGAAATGTTTCACATTACATATTCCAATAACATGTTTTGTTTTCATTTTTTTAAAAATATATCTTTATTGATTTCAGAGAGAAGAAAGGAGAGAGAGAGAGAGAGAAATATCAGTGATGAGAGAGTCATTGATCGGCTGCCTCCTGTGTGCCCCTGTTGGGGATGGAGCCTACAACCACCCGGGCAGGTGCCCTGACCTGGAATTGAATCCTGACCTCCATGTTCATGGGTCAATGCTCAATCACTGAGCCATGCCAGCAGGGCTTGTTTTCATTTTTAAAGTTATTTTCCATTTATGGCCAGTGGTACTTGTTTTACTTAGCGATGTGAAGTTTCCTTTTTGAAAACAAAACTGTATCTATTGACCATGTTTCCTGAGTAATAGAACAGGTGGTAAAAGTAGTAGAGGAATGGCAGGCTTGGGAAAGCTAGATCTAGTCAAGGCTCCCATTTTACGTGTCAGAAAGCTGAGGCTCGTTTCATTAGTTAGTTAGTTCCTTTTTGTTTTCTATCCCACACCTGAGTGAAACCACACAGTTTTTTTCCTTTTCAGTCTGACTTTTTTCACTTAGCACAATACTCTCAAGGTCCATCCATGTTGTCGCAAATGGCAGTGTTTCATTTTTTCTTACGCTGAGCAGGAGTCCATGGTATATACGTACCACATCTTCTTTATCCAGCCCCCTGTCGAGGGACACTTAGGTTGCTTTCATGTCTTGGCCACTGCTAATAAAGCTGCAGTGAACACAGAGGGATGTATATCTTTATCAATAAGTGTTTTTATATTTTTTGGATAAATACCCAGAAGAAGGATTCCTGGACCATATGGTAGTTCTATAAAATATATGGTAACAGAAGGAAACTAGACTTTGGGTGGGGAGCATGCAATAGAGTACACAGATGTCATTATAATTTTATACACCTGAGAATTACATAATGTTATTAACCAATGTTACCCCAATAAACTTAATTTTTTTTAAAAGAGAGCTGAAAAGCTGAGGCCCAAGGTTAATTGAATTGGATTCAGTCAGCTGCTCTTTTCATTATGCAAAGCTTCCTGAGGCGCTCCGAGTGTGAGTCCTCTGATCCGTCACGGAGGGGCTGGACCTACTGATCCCTGCAGGTCCTCTGAGGGCTCCGGCTCTCTCCATGGCCCCGTCTGCCTCTCCCCCTCCCTCATTCCTCCAGGCTGAGCAGAGAGGTGAGACCCTGCTGCTTCCTGACAGCTGAGTTAATAGAGGAAGCATTGTCGGAGGCAGGCAGCCTAAGAGATAAAATTCATTAGGGTTCCATTAGGATTTCTCATTCGATTACTTGCTCAAAAAGTAATTTGATCATCCGCGTGGCTGTCTTAGCATGTGGGTCTCGTACATGCTGGGAGACGGGAGCTGGAAATGCCTTCATTTGTCTCCCGTGGCTTTCAGTTTTCATCTGTGGATGGTTTATTCAGCCCCTCCACCCCCTTTACTGAAACACTTCCCTGTCTCAGAAGAAAGATTTAGTACCCTGGTGTTCCAGTGGCCCGGACTGAATTCATTGCTTCTCTTGCGCTCACCTGCCCAAGCTAGCTGCCTCCTCCCCGCCCCGTCCTCCCAATTCTGGCTCATAGCCCCACTGTCTTCCAGACTCTCTGCCTTGAATTCAGACTCGGCTTCAATTCTTTTTTTTTCTTTTTTTAAAGATACAACTTTATTATTATTATTACTTTAAAACATATCTTTATTGATTTCAGAGAGAGAGAAGGAGGGGGAGAGAGAGAGATAGAAACATCAATGATGAGAGAGTCATTGATCGGCTGCTTAGCTTGCAACCCGGGCATGTGCCCTGACCAGGAATTGAACCCCAATCTCCTGGATCCTAGGTCGATGCTCAACCGCTGAGCCACGCCTGGCTGGGCTCAGCTTTAATTCTTCACTCTGTTTCTCCATCCATAGCCAGGCCACGCCCGTTCCTCGGACGGCTTCCCCCTTCCCTGTTCTCACAGACTCTATTTCCCCTCAGGACTGTCACCTTGGCCTCTTTCCTGGCATAGCCTCCCTTCGTTCTCTTGTTCACTTTTTCGTCCAGGGTCCTTCCAGAACACAAGTGGGACCATACACCCCCCTCTTCAGAAACCATCAGCGGCTCCCTGCTTTTTAGTACCTCGGAAACATTTCCCCAAGTCTGCTTTTTGTAATGCCAAATATAGCCCCTCTGAATAAGTGAAGAGAAAATTTGGGAACTGCCTCATATTATACCCTTCGTGGGGATTGGAAATGTCCATTACCATGGTGAAGACTCCGAGAAGATCTAGTAATTTCCAAAGGTTTTTGACTATGAAACTTTTTTTGGGGGGGGCATGATAACTCTTTGTAGCTCATGAGAAAACAAAAACAACCTGGCCCATAGGAGAATGTCAGACTTCCATAGGTTGGCATTTAAACTCTCCCAAAATTTGGCTTCAAGCTGCCCTCTCGGCCTCACATTTCATCATGGCACTCTGCATACACTACGACCCCTTTCTGCCAGGCTATTCCGAGCTCCCCGACCTCACCACCCAGATGTACTCCTCTACTTTTAGTCGTGCGATTATCCCGTTTGGAAATGTCTCCTGAATCTGCCCACCCCAACTTCTGCACTCCCTCTACCAAGGAAAAAAGTTACCATCAAAGTTCAGAATAAGAGATGTTAGGACAATCTGGCTTTGGGGCCAACTTATCCTGCCCACCCCTGATTCTTACCATTTTGCCTTCAAAACAATTATTTGTCTTCCCCTGGCCCCGTGCACCGAGTAACTACACACCACGTAGTTTTATAAGCCAGCAGCCCACTCATTTCATTGTGAAAGCACTTCAGCTTAGCTGGGAGCAAAGTCGTTTAATCTCCACCATGTAGTGAGCTTCAAGGTCTGTGTTGAACACTAAGGGCATCTTTCCGTGGAACAAAGCTTCCCAGGCCGACATTTCAGTAGCCCCAGGGTGAGCAAGCAAAAGTATGGAACTTTTTAAAAACCACGCCCAGAGGCACCATCCTAGGCCACCATCCCAGCAGTTCTGTGCTTTTACCTCTGGAGCTCGAGGGGCAATTAGCTTTCTCAGCGAGGTGATGTTTTGCAGGGGAATCACTCACCTTTCACCGCCAGGCAGCATGGGCCATGCATCCTCATTATTTCCCAGCTCCTTTATCTGGTCTGGTTCATTCTGCACCTTCATTGTCTTGAGCCTGTTTGGCATTCGAGGTGTCTGCTGTCTGCTTTTTCTGAGCTTTGTTATAATTAAATTGACCACATCTGCCATTGCCAACTAGAGTATGTTTGCGAAAAAGAAATGGTGATATGTTTGTGCTTTGCAGGCTGTGATGAGCAATTAGGCTTTTTCGGGCAGACGGAGCTAATGTGTCAGGCAGCCAATAAACATTTATTAAGAACCCACTGGTTGTGGAACACCAATGGAGGGCTGATGAATGAAATGAAGTAAACAAACACTTTCTCTTGACCAAGTCAGACAAACACCCCCGGTGAGCAGAACCTCCAAAGCAATGTTTAATAGAACAACTGGCTTCCAAGGGGCTCAAAGGGTCATCTGGCCCAATATCTGAGGCCCAGAGAAGGAAAGGGATTCATGAAGGGTCACACAGCAGAGCCTGGTGTCCAGGCTCAGTCCACGAATTTCTGCACTAAGTTTCTAGAGAGGATATGCTACATTCCAAGGGCTGAAGGGTAGGAGAACGGCTCCAAAAGCCAGGATCAAGTCAGGGACAGCTTCTTGAAAGATGTATATGTTGAGCCAGATCTTAAAGGCGGGGGTTGTGTAGTCTGCACAAGGAGAAATACCTTTTCCTTAGTAGACTTCCTAAGTCCTTTGTGTGAGATTTTAATAAAGCACAATTGCTCTCCTGCAGTTTTGTTAACTCCGAATGCACAGGAAATGACATCTCTAATCCTTGGAGGTCTGCCTGCAAAAGGCTTCATTTTCTGTTTCACTGATTGGACGTGGTTTCTACTTGATTAACCAAGAATCTCTGGCAGCAGTGCAACACGGGGAATAGTTACATTTTAGAGGGCCAGCTTCTGCTCGGAGCCCCTTCCCTAGTCCACTGCTGCAGTCCCGATGTCGTTTTATCAGGTCTCAAGGATCTAGCTCCCTGTCTCCCCCTCCGCCCCCATCTTGTGAGCTTACTGAGAGCTCATTAACCTAGTAACTTTGTGGCACATTGCTAAGTGCTCACTAAATGAGGGTCAGCCTTGCGAATGAATGCACTTTTCAATTAATAAATAATTGTGGTAAAATGCATCATCTTGATTGCATTTTAAGCTGGAAATATTGCTTTTGTTAAAATGATGACTGTATTTTTTATGGAGGAAACAGTTTTAATCAGTTATATTATTTGGCTGATGGTGATAACAGGTGAATGAGGGAAAAGATTTTTTAAAAAAGCAACTCAGACTCATCCGTGAGTCACAGGTATGTCACTGGGGTGGGACAGCCCCAGAAATGCCCTCTTTCCCTAATTCTCTACTTTCCACCAACCACCAAGTCCAGCTACACAGAGAACATGTGTGCTCTTCCTTGACATCCCCACTACACGTCCCGGTCCCAGCATTCTTCATGTCCTGCCTAGATTGTTATCCGGTCTGCCTGTATCTGAAGGCAAGAAATTAAGATATTTTAATTACGAGAATGTCTTTCTACTGAAATAAAATCCGTCTGCCTATGCATACCTTTTATTCATGGGTCACTTTTTTTTTTCCAATTACAGTCAACATACAATATTATATTAGTTCCAGGCATACACAATAGTGATTAGACACTTATATAACTTATGATGTGATCACCCCAATAAGTCTAGCACCCACCTGACACCATACATAGTTATTACAATATTATTGACTATATTCCCTATGCTGGATTTTTCATCCTTGTGACTGTTTTTATAACTGCCACTTTGTACTTCTTAATCCCTTCAGAGGAAGACAAGCACCATATGATTTCAGTTATAAGTGGAATCTAGAAAACCAAATAAATGAGCAAACACCACAGAAACAGACTCGTAGATACAGAGAACAAGTTGACAGTTGCCAGACGGGAGGAGGGTTGGGGGTTCGGTGAATAATGACTGGCTGTGGGTGAGGTGCTTGTGTGGCTCTGCTAGCCTCCCTCGCCTGTCCTTGACCTTCTAACCAGCGCTTGTTCTTTGTGGTAGGTCCCTGCATCTGGGCTGCAAGGGCTGCCTCCCATTGACCCACCAGATGTCACCCAGGTCTACCCGGTGCCCGCCAGCATTCGGCCAGTGCTGAGTAAATACCGAGTGGAGGTACGGCACAGGGAAGGAGCAGGTTGATCATGGGGACTAAAGGGCCGTGGTCGTTGCGATACAGGAGTGCAGTGTCTGAGGGCAACTGTGGCGTGGGAAGGAGACGTCGTGGCTCAGACGGGGCCCTCGAGGGCCGCACAGGCCTTTCCTGGGAGAGCACCCTCTGGCTGGGGGCAGCATGTGGGCTCTCAGGCTGGCTCCCCGGGCCTTTGAGTGACAGCTCTGCTGGCCCCCTCCTCAGGTTCTCTTCTGGGGAGTCCGAGAAATGAAGAAGGTTCAACTGCTCTCGGTGGATCGTCCTCAGGTTCTCATCGAGTGCGGGGGCCGGGGAGTCAAGTCCTGCGTGATCCAGAGCTACAAGAACAACCCGAACTTCAGCGTCCAGGCGGATGCTTTCGAAGTGGTGCGGGCACCCCGTTTCCCACCTGCTTGTACCCCTCATTCCCACAGACTGACTGGGCTTGGGGAGATGTTTTGGAGTTTGGGTGCCCACTGGCTATAAGGAAGGACAGCCTAACTTAGTGAGAAGGCAGACGTTCAGAAGGAGATGAAATAGACTTTTGTTGTTGAGTTTTGTTTGGAAAGGTTCCTGGTTAGATCATACAGTAAATCAAATCAGGTTAACAGTGGTTCCCAAAGTGCAGCCCCCCATCCATTCATCAGCATCAGCATCAGCATCACCTGGGACCTTTAAGAAACACAAATTCTCACACCTGCTGCATCAGAAACTGTTGAGGGCTGGGGCCCAGACAGCTCTGGCTTAACAAGCCCTTTGATACATGCTAAAGTTTGAGAACCACTGGCTGAGAACATACCCTCACAAAACTCGTTTTAATAGTTGGATTTTAAAAAATTATTTGTGCATAAAATGGCAGTGGTTTACATGTGAATTTATGCTTCCAAAGTGATTTTCTTTGGCATCTGTGCTTTTGTTTCAGTATTTTAACATGCTTTTTCTGCTCTGATTTGGAAGTAAATGTGAAGTTTGCTTTGCCCAGCCCAGTCAGTGCCGATGGACACACATGCTAAATCAGCAAGACTAGGATTAAAGAATGTACATCATGTGCTAACATTTCACACTAAGCTTTGTTGAGCTTGGTGGGGGTCAGGTAGTGAGCACTGGGGAAACAAGTGGGCAGCACACTGGCCCCTCACCCTCAGCTCCATTTTAAAAGGCTCCCTTTTCTATCTTGGGCCTGAGTAACATCCATTTGAGATGAGAGTTTTCCTGGTGAAATGACAAAGTAAGACAATTGACAACTACTGCCATTGGAAGTGTGTCGTTTTTGCAGTTTGACCCTGGAGTGAACTGCTAGTGCAGCTCTTCACATTTTGGGGAATACTCCTTGGCTTGGGAAGGCACAGTCTAGACTTCTGGCAAGCTGCAGGGGTGGCCTACAAGAATAGAATGACAAGACAGGGACAGAGGGAGGAAGGGTGATAGGCTTACTTTGGCCCTGCCCCCAGACAGGTCGGCAGGGCACCAGCAGCCAGGCTCAGCCCAGACAGTGCTCTAACTTCATCCTGGCCTCTCCCCCCAGGAGCTGCCTGAGAATGAGCTGCTGCACCCACCCCTGAGCATCTCTGTGGTGGACTGGAGAGCTTTTGGGAGGAGCACCCTGGTGGGCACCTATACCATCAACTGCTTGAAGCAGTTCTTGTGTAAATCCAGGGAGCCCCTTGCCCTTACCTCACAGGTCGATGGAACCCAACCTGGGCAAGGTAGGAAGCTCCTCCTGGGTTCTGGGCTACAGACTGCAAAGCCTTGGTGCCTGCTATGGGACCTGCACAAAGATGCTCCCCAATCAACTGGATCTTTCTGAAGAATTTGCTCCTTAAGTGTCACCTCTACTTCTTGAGTTGCCAGATTCTTACTTTAAGAATGACATCAGGGCCAACTCCTGAGAAGCCCTCCTTGCATATTACTCAAGCTCCCTCCTGCCTCTACTCCCTGACATTTTTCTTTGCTCGATGTTATTTAATTTGTTCCATTTTGGATCTCAGGTGCACAGAGTTAACTGCATTTCTCAGTTGATGCTATATAATTATCATCGGTCTGTTCAAAGCTTCTCATTACACCCTCCACCCCCCATGCCTATTCCCTATCTCCACTCCACTCCCCTCCCCAGTGTAAGCCCTACCCCACCCATTCTTATAAAATGTAAATCCATTTGATTTACGCTTATGAAATGGTGCTATAACCTTCATTTAGTTTCCTACTCTTTCACTCAAAGCCGTGCTTTAAGATCTAGCCGTGTTGCTGTGTGTGTGTTAGCTTGTTAGCACTGCCTGCTGCACCTACCCACGTTGCTTTTCCTTCCCCTTATATTAAACGCCGAGGCTGCCTTCCGCTCCCCATTTCCACAAACAAGGCTGTGACAAATGACCTCCGCTCATTAAAATTACTGTGAAGATCCATAATAAGTGCGACCATTTATTGATTACCTATTGGGCACCAAATGCCTGACATCCTGATCTCATTTATGACCCCAGTGGCATGGGTATTTTCACTGTCATTTTATAAAGAAGAAAAATGAAGTTCAGAGATGGTAGGAACTTGCCATATTTGCATCCAGATCTGTCTGATACCCAGTACTGGGTCCCTGAAATGAACTCCCTGTACAGTTGCCTGACATGATGTGCTTTCATTTTGCTTATTTCAGATTCTCTAATAGCCACTGAGCCCTCTGGGCCCCTCACCTCCTCTCAGGACCCCCCAACAGATCACATCTATGTGGACATTGAGCCACCTGCCACAGTGGTACCCGACTCTGCCCAGGTTCAGCAGGTCAGCAGGGTTGACATCCCCGACTCATCCCCTGTGCTGGCATCTGAACACACACCTGCAGCCCAGGAGCAACCACAGGATGGAAAAGCTAAGGTCAGAATATAACCTTTCTTCATATTTACAAGGCTCGTTAGAGTTTGTGTTCGAGTCTCTAGATATTAATCCTCCCACCTACTAGCTGTGCGACCAGGGGCAAGCCACTTCATGCTTCTGAGCATCAATTTCCTCATCTGTAAAATGGGGATATTGATACCCACTTCACAGCACTGTTGTAGAATCAGATATGTCAATGTATACGAAATTAAAGTGCTAGTCAAATGGGACAGTAATATTTAATTGAACAGAAACTTTTGTCAATTTATTAGCCTGGAAAGACAATGGTTTCTGCATCTGGACCCAACCCACAGATATTTCAAACCTATTTTGTACAAGGTCTTGTGGAACAAAAAGGTGTGTCTTCTGAATTCTAAAGGGAAGTGAGACTTCTCATGCCCAGTTAGCTGAAATTCTGGAAGGGAAGATGGACATGTATCAAAGAACCATAGTCAAGACTATGATTTATCTTTCTGTGCCATAAATTAAGTACAATATCTTGGGCATCAACTGACTTAAAGGAGAAAGTAGTTTTAAGAAAGTCTTAAGAGATTGTTTGCCCAATAAATGATAAAGGCTGAAATAAAAAAATCAGAGTAACATAGATTAATGGATGTTTGCTCAGGCTGTTCCAATCTCCTCCAGGCTCAAGTGACCCTCTATGACAGCTCGAGCGGTCCTATATCTCACACCAGCATTGCACCCGCCACTTTATGTTAGAATTTTCAGTTTAAGTGGTTGTTGCCACCATAAAACTGTGTGCCCTACTAGGTCAAAGATAGTTTTTAGAACATCTCTGTATTCCCTGCATTTGATAGAGTACCTGATACATCATAAGTAGGGACTCAAGAAATGTCTGAGAGTGAAAAGATATTGAGTACATGATATGTTTTCATAGCTAGCCTCCTCTAATGGGACAACTGTCTTCTCCAATAAATATGGCCTTTCTGCCAAACATGTATCAATACCTCTCCTACCCCATCGCTTATGTTGTAGGTGTCATTTATTTGCACCCATTCAAATCAGAAATGTTGCCAGAGGAGAATTGACTATATTATGCCATTTAATCCTCACAACAGTAAAGCAGGCAGGTATTATTGCCCCAGATTTATATTAATTGCCTAATGACTTATAACCCAGGTCTGTGTGAAGCTCATGCTCTGTCCACTCTACCACACTGTATTATAAGCCTGGCTCGCTTCCTGAACTCTAATGTAGAATTCAAATGTGAGACTCTGTCTAATTCCCTTCACATCCCCAAAGTCAAGCACAGTGTCTCACATCTGTTCAATAAATGCTTGCCGAATAAATGAATGAATGAGCAGATTATTAAACTTCTGTTCATTGAAGTGGTGCAGAGAGCTGCAAGCACAAGACCTGCCAACACCTCCACGCACCTCCCAGAGTGCACCTGTGTGTTCTCTTCTCAGGAAACCTGTCAGCCACCAGCAGTCCCATGGGGTCTAACTAACAATCTGTCTTCATCTTTTGCCAGGATGCCAGGAAGCCTTCCCGGAGGTCTACCAAAAGGAGAAAGAGGACCATAGCGGATGAATCTGCTGAAAACGTCATTGACTGGTGGTCCAAATACTATGCCTCCCTGAAGGAAGCACAGAAGGTAGAGATTCCCCCTGCTGTGACAATCAAGGGACTGGATGAGAAAGTTGTCTCTACCGTCACCCTCCCAGTCCCACATTACCCCCTCTTTTAAATAGGTAGGCCCTACTTGGGTGTGATTTTGTCAACTGCAGAAGGGTTCAAAGCCTGGAAGGACCAGGGACCCAGAATTGCTAACTCCCCACCCCTGGCTGGAGCTGGCCCTAGGACACCAGCTCTGTTGTAAATGCTGGAAGGATGTTCAGTGGAGCATGGCATCCGGAGAATCTGTCTAGCACTCAGACTCAGGGAGGTCCAGCTAGGAGAAATGGGGTCCTGGATGGGTGGGCATCAGTGATGGGGGCTTCAGGTACACCTAGAGATACCCAGCTCAAAGGGCTCCAGGCCTCTGGCAGGGTTCTAAGTTCATATGGGAAACTATCAAAGTAAAGGCAAAGGTGTAGGTTTTGGCAAATGGGAATGATCAGCGCGTTGCCAGGGCAGGGCCGCATGCACATGGAACCAGAAAGGGAATCGAGTTAAAAAACTAGAGAACCAGTGGGGAATGGACCTGGAGATTCAACCAGAGCTCAGTGACTGAATTTGGTAAGAGATCTCACCCCTGAGTAAGAAAGGAAAGAAAAAATTAATCAGATGTCATCATACGTAACTGAATAGAAAGTATTTGATTCTTGAGTTTGGAAAGACCCTCGTTTCTTCACCTACGACTATCTATGAAGATTGATATATAGTTAAATAAACAGACCAAAGGAGGGAGGTTGGAGGTTGCTGGCACTGTCCTAGCATGCGTGGGCATCTTTTCTCTAGGACAGGGCATTTTGCTGTCCTTAGGTCTCAGGTCTTTAGAGTGAGGCTTCACTTGAGAGCTAACTTAGGGACTGTTTGAATACTCTTTTAAAATGGCATCTCTGAGAGTGCAGAGGGCTGAGATCATTGAATTAGAACTCACAGCAGTCGGGATTAATAAATGAGGCAGGGGAGTGTCTATAATCTTGTGTCTGTCTTTTCTCAAAGGAAAAGGAGAGAAATCTCAAAGAGAAAAAAGGCAATACAGGTAAGTAGCTGTTCTGGGGACATTTGAACATAGAATAAGGTCATTTGGGTGAGCGAATTGTAAAATGGAAGCCATGGGAGGCAGGTTAGAGCTGTACTCCCCTCCCTCATTTCCTAAGTGAGGAAACAATCTCAGGAAGATGACAACACTTTAAGAAGGTCACGTAGCTGATTTGAGCTGGGCTGGGAACCAGATCCCAAGTCTCCTGAATCTAGTTCAGTGCTGAAATCAACCCCTTGGCTCATGTCCCTACATTGACAATCTTAATGTAGAAGTAGCAGAGTAAAAATAGAAGTGAGCTGGGATGACAGACCAAAACCAACATGATAAACTTTAATAGAGGTGACTGGATTTAGCTTCCAAAACTCGGTTTACAAGGATTGGATGGACCTGGTTTGGCAGAAATCAAACGAAAGAGGCCTGGGATTAGAAATGACCTCAAACTCAATTCAAATCAGCAGAAGGTCTTGGCCTAAAAACAACAGTAACATCAAGTGGACATAGCTGTTTCAGGTGACACCGATTGGAAGTGGGAAAACCAGAGTCAAGCTCAGTTCCTCAGACCACTCCTAATTAGCATATTTCAGTCGGAGACCATCTCATGACGTAAGCAGTGCTATCTTCATTTTGCAGATGATGAAACAGGGGTACAAAGAGGTTAAGTAATTTGCCCAAGTTTACACAGCTAGAAAATAGCAGAGCTAAAATCTGTCTCAGGCAGTTTATTTCTAGAGCCTACTCCTAAAACATTACCTGGTAACCTTTCTAACTATATTCGTGNAAGTTTACAGAGCTAGAAAATAGCAGAGCTAAAATCTGTCTCAGGCAGTTTATTTCTAGAGCCCACTCCTAAAACATTACCTGGTAACCTTTCTAACTATATTCATGACTTTGTGCAAGACCTTTAACATATTTGAGCCTCAGGCTATTAAATAGATGAATCTCAAGTTCCTAAACAGCTCTATGAGGGAATGTAACTCAAAGCTTTGGAGTCAGCGCATCCTGAGTCTGCTCTTTGCTAGTTGGGTGGCTGAGCAAATTATTTCTCCCACATAAGGAATTCTTACATATACCAGGCCAGGCCATCACACTTGTCTGGCCCCAGGAGATCTGTTGGCATTGCGTTACTATGTGAGTGACATTTCCTCTAGTTCTCTAATGCACAGACTCTAGCAGTCCTAGAGTCTTTGTCCTGCAAGCATATGACACATAGCACGACAAAGGGAAAGAGGGAGCTTGACTTTTTTCTTCCCATCTCAACAGCCATGAGTAGTCTAACAGTTTCCACTAAATATCCACAGAGGCAAAACCAGATGAGGTGGTGGTGAATATAGAAGATGGCCCAAAGAAGAAGAAAGACAAAATGCTCAAGAAGAAACCCAAAGAAGATGAAATCCCCAATCTGGCTGTCTTGAAGGTGTGTAGACACGGCCATTGCCTCCAGGGATGGGGTGGGAAGCTCAGAAGGGGGTTCTGTTGACGCTTCAGTCAGTCCTTGTCCTTTGCGTGATCTCATCTACTTTGTCTTTATTATAATAATTGATGTAAAGAAATAAGGTTTAATAAGCATGTAGGCCAAGATCACGGAGCTTGCTGATTTTCCATTTTCTACAACCTCATACTACAAAGGGGCATAAGTTACGCTGGTTAGCCTGTGCCCGGCAAGGTAACGGACCGTGCATGAGTTCTCCTTGGCTCGCCTCTTGGAGCTTGTCATCATTGGGCCATGTGTGGACTCGAATTAACAGGAGTTTTAACCTTAACTAAAGTCAGACCATTTACTATTAGCTAGAGGCATATTGATGGATATGAAAACTGGGAAGATGGAACTTATGCATCTAGATAACAAATAAGTAATTTTGATAGAAAATTTGAATAGGTGATTTCATTATGTTACCTGAAACTCAATTCAATTTTGCATTTCCAAAGTGCATATATAATTTCCCACTTGGAAAACTCTTGCCTATATGCATTATAATAAAACAAATATTTAATCACTTTATATGTGTTAAGAATTAGATGCTTAATAAACATATATTTTGAATGCCTTCAAAATATGCTAGTCTACATCCCAAAAACCAATGACATCAATTAGCTATTAAAATGTTTGTTATATTTATACTCTCATATTTGAAAAATTTTGGCTCGGCTATGCATTTCTTGGAATTTCAAAGTCTATCAAAAAGGTTTTATAAATTTTAGAGGGATAGTTAGATCCAGAAATGCCGAGTCAAGCACATTCCTTATTTTGCTCAGGATAAATTAAAATTAACAGCAGCCTCTAGATTTTTCCAAGGGGCCTCTATCAAGTCTGGCTTTAGAGAATCTCGGCATTTCTCGTTGAATAAATTTTGGGCCTTCTTTCCTTTGTCTGCACACGCTCTACCCCCTTCTCCCTACAGATATATGACGGTGACCTTGAGAGTGAGTTCAACAGTTTTGAAGACTGGGTGAAAACCTTTGAGCTCTGTAGAGGCAAGTCTACCGAGGATGACCATGGCCTCGATGGAGACCGAGTCATAGGAAAGTTTAAGGCAAGTTCCAGAGTTAACTCTTATTTGGCTCTCCTGTCCACAAATGTTGGGCACAACCCAGTTCTGTTAATGGATTGTGCCTTGGGTTGTGTGTAAGGGAAATCCTACATCTTTTTACCAGGTCCTCTCTAGAGCCTCACAAGCCCCAGTCTTTTTGAGAGATTTCATTCATGGCCAGTGAAGAGGGTTGTAATTCAGCTTAGTGGAATATAAGGAGAGAGAGTTGTTACCTAAAAGAATCACCGAGTTTTACTTTGCTCTTCCCACCCCTAACTTACCAACTGTTTAAGTTAGGCAAACCTACCAACACAAACCCTTCCTCTGGCAGAGGTGTGGCGTCAGCATCACAAATAGTAGCTGACACTTACTATGAACCTACTGCATGCCGGGCCCTTTATATGCAGTGCTGTGTGTTGGAAACAGCATGGGCATTGCAGTTTGCCGATGTGGAATTTGATCCTAGTTAATAACACTAACTAGCTTCATGATCTTGAGCAGTGCTTGACCACTCTGAGCCTTGGTTACAGCATCTGAAAATTGAAATACTGCAGTCAGGCTTGAATGAGACAACGGGAGAAAGCATTAGCTCAGCGCCCACATGTCAAAGGCACCCAGCATCCCATCTGACGCTCCTATTCATGCTCCTCACACAACAGCCCTGTGGGGAGGTGCTACTCTGCCAACACCGATTCACTAACGTACCACGAAGAAGCTCAGATGAATTTCCTGAGGACACTCAGAGGGCAAGAGGAGTGCCCCTGGCAGGCCCCGGGCTGTGCTTCTTTCCCCAGTGTTACGCCCTCTGTGGTTTTTGGTGGTGCACATGACCATCTTCTTTCAACGGGTCGTACTTTGTGGTTCCAGGGCTCTTTCTGCATTTACAAAAGCCCCGAGGATCCCAGCACTGAGGACAGCGGGCAGCTGAGAATCCAGCAAGGGATTCCACCCAACCACCCCATCAAAGTCCTGATCAGGGTGTACATCGTGGCGGTGAGCAATCCCCGTTTACTCTGAGGGGCTTAGTCTGCTCGGGCTGCCATAACAAAACACTACCGACTGGCTCACTTAAATAGCGGACAGCTCTGGAGGCTGGGAGTCCACCATCAAGGTACCATGAGGGCTGGTTTCTGGGGCAGCCTCTCTCCCTGGCTTGCAGATGGCCAGTCTTGCTGTGTTCTTCCTCACATGGCCTTTCGTCTGTGTACACATTCAGAGAGAGGGGGCGAGAGAGAGATCTGGTGTCACTTCCTCTTCTTATAAGGCTACTAGTCTAATGGATTAGGGCACTACCCTTAAGACTCCTTTAACCTTAATTACCTCCCTAAATGCCCTGTCTTCACATACAGTCAAGTTGGGGGTTAGGGCTTCCACGTATGAATTCTGAGGACACAATTCAGTCCACAACAGGGTGTATGAAGTCTGGTTGGTAACTTGGACATTTACTTGCTGGCTTCCCAGGCTTTATATGTGCAGCTTTATTTGCTCTCTGAGTTTGCCTGCTGACTGGGAAGAAAGCCAAATAGGACGGAAACAGGAATTCACAGGCAAGACTGTTAGAAAGCCGAACAGGGCTGCTGCCACTGAGAAATCCGCCCCCTGACTATGCCTCTGCACCGTGTTGGTCAGAAATTTCATTTAGAATGTATTTCCGAGAAAAACATTATCTGCCCTACTTTCTGAATATGCAAGCACTAAACTTTAATTGTGAAACTTTGGGGCCTCATTGCCAGGAAGCTCAGGGCCAAGTCTGGTTCTCAGTCCAAGCAATTGTCTGCTGAACCTTTATGGTCTGTGTATCTGTTTTCATCTACAGAACTTGGAGTTAATTTCCATAATTTTATTAGATTGTGGTAGCCCTATTTTATATTAACCCTTTGCCTACATTGCCTGCACCCTGTTTTAAAAACCATAAATGAAGTATAAAACAAAAACGAATTCTTCTTAAGGCTAAAGGGGAACTAAATTTCACCTTTCCGTTGAGCCGCTCTCACTTCATCATCATCACCATGGCCACCGTGAGCCAGGCGTGTTCCAATCACTAGGGATGTTGAGGTTGGAAGTACTTGTAAAGAATCACTGGTGATGCTGAGTAGTTTGTCCTAAACACCCACTCACAGGACAGTCTAGACTAACCTTTTCTAAATCTTGTTCAGGTCACTCATGGGAAAGATAATTAATATGCATCTCTTGGAAATGACTCATGTGTACAAATAATTTGAGAAATGGTGCATATGATATTTTTTCCGTTCACTGACCCCTGAGGTTCACAAAGCGCATTAGCACATTCAAGGCTCTGAGAATTCCAGAAGCAAAGAAATCTAACTATTGAATCTTTCCAGCATTTTCTAAACTTATTGCCCAACCCCTTTTCTCCCTCTACAGAAAACCCTGCAGAACTACGGTTCTATGGGACAGAGTTTGAGGACCCCAGAAATAGAGGGATGAGCAGTACAAAGAAAGGAGAAAGTTTTTGGACTACAGAGCCTGGGGAAGGATCATTATTTATTGATTCACTCAGCAAACATCTCCAGCACACTTTTATGTGTCCAGTACCCTTTAGACAAAGACCAGGAATGCAGATCAGGTTCCTGCTCAGGAAGCAGCGTGGGGGAAGGAGGGCTTGGGCTGGAACTTGAGGACAAGCAGGATTTGAACAAATGAAGAGTCGGGGTGGGGGGTGGGGGGACGGCCCTGGGTTGCAAGAGGACAAATTCACTGCAATTATGGACAGTCCATGCTTTTCATTGACATTTCTAGTAATAGTGATTGTGTGGTTTGCTCTCTCAAACTAAAATTTAATCAATTAACTACACAAATTAATTAAAAATCTTTTAATTTAGTAGAACACCAAGAAAGTAAAAAATAATACTACTTGAAAGTTGCATAAAGAAAGAAAAATCTCCCCACCTCTGAAGTTCCACCCCCCAAAATAACTTACTATTCCATGTATATGCAAATAAATCTATATCTATTTCCACTTGCTTGCAACTCCACCCAGGTATTTATTTACTAGGGTCCTGCTTGGTACATTACGTTTGATCTCCTATTCCCTTTCCTTAGCTAGTAATAGAACTTGGACATTTTCCCAGATCAGTACATACGGGTCTTCCTCCTTAGTAGCCACCTAGCATTTTCCTGAATTAGTTAGCATGCATTTATTCAATCATTCGACAAATATTATTAAGAAGATCGTATTCGAGGTCCTGGAGATAATATAATGCACAAGACAGACAGTATCCTTGCTCTCCTGGAGATTACATAGTAGCTGGAGGTGGTAGGGGATTAAGAATGTATTAAATATAAACAAAGAAACAGATAACTGCTAAGTGAACGATTAAAATTGGGTGATGTGATGAGAGTAAATGGGGAAGGGACTCTTTTGGATTAAGTTCCCCCTTAAATAGTTGACATATAGGTTGTTTATAAATGTGGCTGTTAAACAACATCATGAACATCCTTGAAAACAGCTCTGTGTGCTCTGCCACCCGACCTGGAGGACAGAGTCCCGAATACGGACTGCTTCTCACAGCTCTCATCTCCAGTTTTCCCATCTTCTCAATAGCATTCCTCACATGCCCCCTACCCAGCCTTCTCTTAGAAAGTGTTTGCTGCCCTGGCCGGGTGGCTCGGTTTGTTGGAGCATGGTCCCCTACACCAAAAGGTTGTGGTTCGATTCCCAGGCAGGGCACATACCTAGGTTGTGGGTTCGATGCAGGGTCGGGACACGTATAAGAGGCAACCGATGGGTGTTATTGTCCCACATCGATGTTTTTATTTCTCTCTCTCTCTCTCTCCCTTCCTCTCTCTCTAAAAATCAATAAAAACATATCCTCGGGCAAGGATTAAAAAAAAAAATTGAGTGTTTGCTTATGATGGTTTAATGCCCAGCTTGTCTGGAGTCAGACTTCACTCTGAGAAACAGCCAGTGCTAAATGCAAGACTGACGGGTGATGGGTTCAGAGCCCACTCCTTCTGGGGGGAGCCTTTGGGAGTCCACCCTATGACTTTACAGACAGATCTCAGACTACCTAAAACCAGAACCAGAACTCGAGTTCATGCCTCCTGCCTCCCGGTCCAGCCTGTTCCTCATTGCTCAGTGCCAAGTGCTGCTTGCCCTGGGGAGACGACTCCAGAGGCTGCTGAGCTTTGGCAAAGTTGATAACTCTTANGAGTCCACCCTATGACTTTACAGACAGATCTCAGACTACCTGGAACCAGAACCAGAACTCAAGTTCATGCCTCCTGCCTCCCGGTCCAGCCTGTTCCTCATTGCTCAGTGCCAAGTGCTGCTTGCCCTGGGGAGACGACTCCAGAGGCTGCTGAGCTTTGGCAAAGTTGATAACTCTTAANAAAACCAGAACCAGAACTCGAGTTCATGCCTCCTGCCTCCCGGTCCAGCCTGTTCCTCATTGCTCAGTGCCAAGTGCTGCTTGCCCTGGGGAGACGACTCCAGAGGCTGCTGAGCTTTGGCAAAGTTGATAACTCTTATCAGCAAAATGGGGACGTTAACGCAGTGGTACCTAACCTTGGCTACACACTAGAATCGTCTAGGGAGCTTCTAAAAATCCCAAAGCCCAGGCCAATCAAATCTGGGGATGAACTCAGGCATATTTTTTGAAACTCCCTGGTAATCCCATTGAATAGCCTGTGCTGAGAACCACTCGACCAAGGGGCTCTCCTTTCTTCTCCCCAGGCATTTAATCTTAGCCCAGCCGATCCAGATGGCAAATCCGACCCCTACATTGTGCTCAAGCTTGGCAAAACGGAAATCAAGGACCGAGACAAATACATCCCCAAACAGCTGAACCCAGTGTTTGGAAGGTCAGTGGCCATGTGGGTGGGGCTGCACTGTCCCCTTTGCATTTGCTCCTGCTGTGTTTGGAGGGGAGGGGGGCTGCTGTGTACACGTGTGTATTTCTGAGTAAATGGTGGCAGGAGGTTAGATGCTGACTTTTGCTTGTGATAATAGCCAACCAAACCTAACCTTTGTGAGGAAAGACCAAATTCTCCCCTTGGTCCCTTCAGGTATAAGGTGGTAGGTACAGTATATGGTGATCTTTATGCCTGTGGTTTTCCAATAACGATTGCTCCTAGATCTTAATCTTTCCTAGATCCCGCCTCCTGCATTTGGACAGAAAGGTATCCTTTTTACAAACAAGATAGCCAAGGCCCAGAGAGGTTTAGAAACTCATTCAGGTTCACATAGTGCATGGGTGGAGGAGAAGGGGCCAGACCTTTGGTCTTGTCTCCTACCAAAGGAATTTTCCCCTCATATCATTTTGTAGTTCATTTGAGGTGACCCCTGAAGTAAAAAGTTGAACTGCGTACCCCCACTTGTGCTTTGTTTTCCTGCAAAGTGTTTAAGAAGCATTGCATTTGTGTATGTTTGGGTGAACCAGGCATTCCTTAGTTCACAGAAACCCTACCACCCCCACTTGTGTTCTAGTGGGTGTGCCACACACTCGTGTTCCCTCCTTGAGCTTGTGCACCTGATTGCTGATAACTTTGGAGTCAAGCAGATGCAGGTTTCATTCTGCCATATACAGACTGTGTAACTTTATGCAGGTGGCTTAACCTCTCTGATCCTGGTTTTCCTTCTCTGTAAAGCAACGACAGTGACGCTTGCCTCTCCGGTGCCTTTAGGAGATTAAACACACTGTCTATGCTAGTCCGTGGGAGATACTCAAAAACATTCGCTTCCCCTCTCTCCCTTAATAATCATTTTAGCAACGGATACATGGTAAGTGCATGTAATTTCCTTGTTTCCCGAGTAACAGGGAAAGTGGGGTGAAATCTCCATCAGCCTTTTAAATTCATTTACGCGTTTGTAATCTCTCCGGACCCTCTGACATTTGATGAGCACCAGACTCCCATGCTTTCCTGCTCCCGAGGAAATGAGGAAATAAATGATTTCTCCTGTTCAAGTTTGTGAGAATGATTAAAAGGATGCCAGGGAGGCACCCTTGCTGCCCGGTCAGAGGCGACCTTTATCATTATCCGGCCTTTATGTAACCAGCACTTCATTTTGCCAAGTGCTGGCAGTTGCATTTTATTGGCTGCTCTCACCGCAGCACCCTGAATTAGACTGGCTTTACTGGCCCAGGACGGGCGCGGAAAGCGGGAGCAGGGGATGAGGGGGTATTTCTCCTGCCTCTGCACCCCAGACACTCTTCCGGGAGCCCTCTACGTGCTGTCGCTTTGCTAGAAGGGTATTTAGTGGTGACTCGTGAACAAAAGTTGCTGGCCCGACCCTGCAGCGTTCCAGCAGGGAGGGCGGCGGGCTCCTGGGCCTGACCTAGGCTCTGGGGACTCCCTCTTCGGGACCCCACCACTGTATGAGGATGCCACAGGCTCCACCCGACCCCTGGCACCTTGCCTGCTTTTCCTTACAGCCTCTGGCATAAGCTCCACTTGAGCAGGGACCTGGGCTAGCCTGTTCAATGCCACGTCCACAGCACCTAGAACAAGGCATGTTGCAGAGCTCAAGCCCAATAAGTACTTGTAGAATGAATGAGTGATGAATGAATGAATGAATGAATGAATGAATGAATGAATGAATGAATGAACAGATGGATGAACAAACCTCCAGTCAGTTTGCAGTGGGATTTGATGGGACCTGTTACCCTGCGTGAGCCTGAGCTGGCACATGTCTGCAGACTTGGATGATTCCTCAGTTTCTTAATAACCGCGGTGCCTGGCACATAGTGGATGTGTAATAAATGGCAAATGAACAAAGGAATTAACAAAAGAATAAATAACTGAACAAAGAAATTGTTGCTCTGAAGCTGAGAGGTACTAAGTGTTTCACAAGGCTTAGTTTTTACCCAGTTCGCCATGCATCTCTCAAACCACCATCGGACCTAGAGATCGTGCCATGTCGACACAGGAGCTGGTATAAGCCTAGTTTTCCCCTGGTGACCGGCTGTTTGGGGTAGTCCTTTTTAATGACAGCTCCAGTGAAAATTCGGGAGAGGTTAATCTGTGAGCACACAGCTCACAGAGATGGAACAGAGAAATTGAGTCGTCATGGTTGCCAGGGGCAGTTAGCACTTAAGAAGTCCTTTCTCGGTGGCACCAGCTGTGGTGACAACTAAGCTCAGACATAGGTAGCTGGAGGCTTCCTTGTGAGATGCTTCTAGAATCAATTACCGTCTGGAATCCAAATCTTAGAGCCCCAGGAAGGCAGTACTATGTCTTCAGGTGGAAGATGCTAATTCCTTCCCCACACAGCGAATCCCTGGCCTGCTCCAGCTGCCTCAGGCAGTCGCAGTCGCAGTCGCAGTGGCAGTGGCAGTGACAGTCAGTCGATGGAGCTGTGGAGCTTCACTGCTCCTNCGCTGCCTCAGGCAGTCGCAGTCGCAGTCGCAGTGGCAGTGACAGTCAGTCGATGGAGCTGTGGAGCTTCACTGCTCCTTTCTCTCTGGGGAGGGTTAATTGGCTCCGGCTGGGCTGTGATTGGGGTTCCTGCCGCCCTGGAGAGTGAAAGTCGGGGATGAAGTAATTTCCAAAGTCTTACAGCCAGGATGTGACTGATTCGAAACCAAGGGTAGAGATCAGTTTGAGACCAAAACCCAAGGTTCTTTCCTCTCTGTCTGGCTGCCACCCTACTTAAAGACTGCAGTTGATGGCCCATGAAAGAGGAGATTGCTGGCTACTGAAAAGTGACAACAGAATTGGAAATTGTTTGTATCTCAGTGAAAAATTAAACCAGACAAGTATTCACTAAGTAGTGAGTGAGTTGCTGAGTGTTCAGTGTGCTCCTATGAACTGTAGGCTAAACGCTAAGCTGGGAAATGTTCCTTGTCACCAAATGCTGACTCCTCAAGCCTCTTCTTGGACTGCAGGTCATTTGAGATCCAGGCCACCTTCCCAAAGGAATCTCTGCTCTCTGTCTTGATCTACGACCATGACATGATCGGGACAGATGACCTCATCGGCGAGACCAGGATCGACCTGGAGAACCGCTTCTACAGCAAACACCGCGCCTCCTGCGGCTTGCAGAGCCGCTATGAGATGTAAGTCCTTTCTCCGCGGAGACACTGCTGGTGTCCGAGGTTCCCGGGCTGTGGCCTCAGGCCTGCTCTGGGGAGGCCAGCGAGGCTCAGCTTTCATATCTCACATGGGCTCCAGGCTGGCAGGGCTGGATTGAGGGAGATGCCCACTGCCCTGGAGGGGGGTGCGGTTGGGGAGGCAGCTGAGGCAGAGCCCAGGGAAGGCTCTTCAGGAGCCAGGGGCTGGGCTGTATGTGTTCACTCAGCCAGCTGGGGCTGGTGGGCAGAGTTCCGCAATGGAGAATGAGGCTGGAAGAATGATTAATGTAGCACAAATGCCAATATTCCAGTTAATTATAACTAACACTTATGATAGACCAAGGACTTTATATGGAGCCTCTCCGCTGATTCTCTCAAAACCCACTGAGGCGTTATCCTCAACTTAAAAACAAGGGAAACGTGGGCCCTGCTCTCACTCTTAGCAAAGATTTTGAATCCTGCTTCATATAAAAATGTAGGCTACCAGCTGCATTTTTTAAACATATGTTGTATCTGATATCTTAAAGAAAAAATTAAAATCTTGCAATTAAAAATTACAGCTAGGAAAATATAAAAACAGTCACTAGCTTTTTATGGTATACTTTTAGAAATATATTTTTCTGACTATAAAATAATATGTATTATAGAAAATATAGGAAATATAGAAAGTACAAAATAATGCTCAGATTATTCCACCCAGAGTAACTTATGTAAAAAATCTTTATGTTTTTCCTTTTAGTGTTTTTCTTATGCTATTTTCCCCCAAAGTTGGATTTTGTAAACTATTTGTCTCGCTAACCTTTATAAGCATTCTATAATATCATTTAATATTCTTCAAAATCATTATTTTAATAGCTCTATGATGTTGCAGCATATGAATTTATTATAAAATGATATAATCAGTTTGTCTTCGTGAACTTTAGGGCATTTATGTTTCTCTTCTTTATTCCATTAGACATATTGTGCTATAAGCATTCACCTTCAGCCACTGCTCACCCTCTGATGATTCAGTAGGTATTCATCTGCAGGCACAGATTAGTCCATTGACATTAGGTTATATGTCCAGTGGTTGTCTAGAAGGGCTGTCCCCATCTAGGCTCACGTGAAGAGTCTGGGTGCCTGCTTCCTCCATGGCATTTTCAGACACGTCTCTGCTACTGGCCTGCTCTCCTCTGAGCCCAGGAAGCCAGTTCAGTATTGGGACTCCAGTGACTGTATGAGCCTCCAAGGTATTCATATCACCCTCAAGTACCTGAGAGGGTGCCATTCAGAAAATGATTAGCTGCTCTTGCTCTGAAGTCAGGGGAGGGAGCCACAGGCCAATGTGGTACATCCTTTGTTCAGAAGAATTTCCAGACAGTGGACCTATCAGGGAGCAAAATTGTTCAGTTAGCACAGTTATAACTTTTGCTCACTGGAAATGTTTTAAAACAAGACAAGAGCAGCTGTGTCTGGGGAGGCCTGTGTGGGGCTCTGGGCATGGTTTGGATAGACACTCCAGGACCCTCGTGTATCCAGTACAATGAAGGACAACTGCTTTATAGCCATGTTTTGATTGATTTAAATACTTCGACAAGTTCATTTTGATGAATCCTGGGTCTCAATGTGCAGAGAAATCCAAGCTCATCTTGGCCATGGCTTTTTAGAGAGCAGCTCATTGCCAGTTAATAACTTTTAAAGAAAAGCTAGTTTTTAAGGGACAAAAAGTTTGAGATTTAGAAACTCAGCCTCAGGAAAATCACTGATTAGAGAAACAGCCCATTAGACATTCTGCCTGGTCATGAGTCTACAGTATGATTTGGGGCTGCAGGAAGCAGAGCGGAGGAAAGAAGCAGAGAAACGGAAAGAATGAGTTTGGCTTTTCTCTCAGAATAAACAGCAGCCAAATGGCTATACTGCCAGAAACAAAACAAAAACAACCTGCAAAGAAACCCGTGGAGACAGCAGGTTGGTGTTTGCCAAAGGCCGGAGTGAGGTGGATGAAGGAGTAACTGCTTAGTGGGCACAAGGCTTTCCTTCGGGGTGACGGAGATGTTTTGGAGCTGGATGGAGGCAGTGGTTGCACAGCCGTGTGAAGGTTTGAGATGCCACTGAAGTGATCCACTTTAAAATGGTTAATTTTATGTTATGTGAATTTCACTTCAATTTTTTAAGGCACATTTCTTTAAAAAAATAAAAACAATTTGCAAAGAATTTTTATGTCAAGCTATTCAGAAGTCCTGCTTTTCATACAAGTATCATATGCAGAGGTTTTGACCAGAAAAGAGAGAAAACAAAACAAAACACACTAGCCCAAGTGTATAGAATGGCAATTGAATCTGAAGGGAATCACACAGGTCATACTTAGGTGGCCCTTTGAATAGGGACAGTGAGTGTGTCCTTGCAGGGGAAGCCGGGCCTCACCCTGTCCGCCTTTCCTCCACTTGGCAGAGAAGGGTACAACTCCTGGAGAGACACGTCCAAACCCACCGAGATCCTCACCAAGCTCTGCAAGGACAACAAGCTGGATGGACCCTACTTTCATCCTGGGAAGATACAGATAGGAAACCAGGTCTTTTCTGGAAAAACAGTCTTCACTGAAGAGGACTCTGGTAACTCCCCACAATGCAGTCTGCTGGCTTTGCTCTTCTCGTGAAAAGCCTGCTTCTGGTGGTGTTTGTGGCCGGGACAGTGGTCATCCATTGTAAAAGTAATGCGTGCTCATGGGGGGAAGTATAGGAAAGTAAAGAGGAAAAGGCGAATCACTTATCGCCCCCCAAACCAGAGAGAAGCACGTTGCGTGCTGGTAGGGTTCCTTAGTCTGAGTGCATGTGTGTGGGTGCCATATATCACATTTTCATAGAATTGTAAATGTGTCCTATAGTTTTGTATCCTGCCTTTTCTATTTCTAATAGATTATGACAATTCTCCCTTATACTTTGAAACACTCATTGACAATATTAATTTTTATGGTTGTGCCACTGATTCACATTGTGCCCACTTTTTGGAGTAACACTTAATGCTACCATGTTCTTCCTCATACATGTTTTTGCACATTTCTGATGTTTCTGCAGTAGAGATCACATAAGTAGAATTGTTGTGTCAGAAGGAAGGCAATAACCTTAAAAAGAATGTTATGTACAATAAATTACTGGACACACCCAAATTACCCCCATAAATGTTATACCAACAACTCTCCTATTTCAGCACTAACAGGGAGATTTTCCATAGGAGCATCATAGCGCCTACCAGGAAGATCCCAGGGAGGGTTTCATAAGCTTAAGATGAGAAGAAAAGTCACCTCTACTTTAATGATACAGAGCAATTCTTGCACTGTCACCCTTGTGCTTAATCGTGCTGAATTATGGTGCAGTGCTTCTGATGCAAAGAACTCGACTGAGGACATGCCACAGGATGTTTTGACACTGTTGTGTTGATCTCATCACTCTGATGCCAAGGTCTCTTTTTACCATGTTGTTTTTACCCCCAAAACTTCTTAGAGGTTCTTACATGCAGAGATAATTGACATTTAGATAGTGTTTTAATGACATATTGATGAGTTTATGTTGAGAAATATTCTCTTTCAAAATATATTTTGTTAGGCCAATTTAGTTCCTTGGTCAATATTCTGTATTTCATGATGAAACAATTTTTTTGCCCATCAAAAATCTGAAATTATGTTCCTTAAGATCGGCTCTTGATGGATTAAACTTCATGACAAAGATTTAGTCCATCGATGACTTGTTTGTCCCTATCAACTTTTACTGATTGTAATTACTACTATTGAGAGATTTTTTTGGTGCCCTCCCCTTTAAAAAAAAAAAAAAACAAGCTCAATTTCCTACGTCACATTTGGCCATTCTAAACTTTGTCAAAAGATTTGATCCTTTCAATAATTTTTGCCTTATAATGTTTGCAAATAATGCTTCTGCCAGCAGTTTTATCATGAATTACCTTCTTTGATAAAATGATGGATCAGAGAACCTTTCCTGTGAGCAGGAGTTGGGAGGAAGGAAATCCCAGGCAATAATGAGAAAAGGCAGAGACACCCAGGAGCACATATTGTGCCCATTCACCGCCTTGTTAGGGCCGTGCCGATTCCCCAGCCCTCACCCTATGGTGCTGGCGAAGAAACATCCCCTCTCAGCACCTTGAAGCCCAGCTCATTCCTTATAGACTCTGAGAAATCTGGTTCAAGCAGCTCTGTACTCCAAGACCCCTGACCACTCTCTGGGTCTTCTTATCAACCCATCTCATGTCTGGTTCTCTAAACTTTCAATCTCCTTCCCCTTCCTGCCACTCTACCCCCACCTCTTCCCTTTTTCTCTTTGTCCTTTTGTTTTTTGCTGGCTTTTCTTGTGCCTCAGTATATTTAAAGGGACCTTTAAGTGTGTTTAAAAATGCATCGGACAGCCCATCACTGTCCCCTTATAGGAACAGCCAGCTGATGAGTCTCTTTATTTTTCTTTCTTCCATGCAGATGAAACAGTGGAGTCTTACGAGCACTTGGCCCTCAAGGTTTTACACTCTTGGGATGATATCCCGGAGGTTGGATGCAGGCTGGTTCCTGAACACATAGAAACCCGGCCACTGTACCACAAGGATAAGCCAGGAATGGAGCAGGTAATGGCCAAGACGGTTCTGGCCCCAATAGGAGTGTTCCTCCCCAAGAAATGTGACTTTTTCCCTAAAAATCAATCTTTTATGCCCTAGAATAGTTGTTCTCAAACAGAGACAATTGTGACATACACACTGCCTTGCCCTAGGACATTTAGCAATGTCTGGAAATATTTTTGGTTGTCTCAAGTGGGTAGAGGTGCCACTGACATCTAGTGGGTAGAGGTCAGGATCCTATTAAACATCCTACACTGCACAGGACAGCTGCTCACAACAAAGAATCCATCATTCAGCCCGAAGTGTCAGTAATGTCAAGGTCGAGCAACTCTGCCCTAGAGTCAGTGTTGGACTCAGTGCTTTTTCTTTTTTACTATTTGAGCTGCCAAACTCTTTTGGAAGAATTCTGACATTTGAAAAATTTCAAAACACATTGGATACGTTCAAGTCCTTGCCCAAAAAGCTATCAGTAACCACACAGTCCACTAGTTTTCCCATGGAAGCAATAGATGGCAGCTTACCTTGAAGAACCAGCCAGAAGAAACTGGGTAGAAAAAATAACTAGAAATCCGGGTTAGGACTTAGAAGGGAAGAGAAGATAAACTTTATTAAGAGACTTCTGAGCATCAGGTCCTTTACTTAAATGGTCTCGCATAATTGGAATGATCAGAATTGTTTATCCAAACTGTGGCCATTTTGAGAGTGGAAGAGGTCACTATTAATATGCTGCTACAAAGGATTTTCCTAGGCAAACAGGGCTGTGTGGGTCACCTTAGTCATTCCTTAATATAGCCTCATGATGTACTTAGTATGATCTTTTTAAGATGAGGAAATTGAGGTTCAGAGAGTTTAAATAACTTGTTCAAAGTTACTCAGCTGATAAGTAGAGTTTCGATTTAACCCAGGCAGTTTAAGTCCCTAGTCCTGTCCCAGCACTGGACTCACTGTGTAACTTGGGAAAAGCACATGAACGTGGGACTACAATGGGTCAGGAAAGCCCACCTTGCTACCCACCCCAGCAGTGTTGGCGTATAACCTAGTGATGGCATGTGTCAGGGAATGCCTCGAAAGGGGAAACCTTTATCATATGTAGAAGCTTGTGAGTGTTTCCTGAAATTTACAAGGATGTTTGAAATCACTTAGTTACTGGTGTCCTTGATTTTGCTTGTCAGATGTGGCTTTTTTTTTTTTTAATCAAAGCTGAATGTTGATATATCTTTAGAGAATAAATCATCCCACTTTTCTCTAGGACTGTAATCTTCCACTGAATTGGTTCTTCTCTTCCCAAATGCTAAAGCTTTTCTTATATTGTCTCTTCCCTTGGAAAGTGTTTTTTTCCTCTAACAAAAGCATTCTGTCCCACTTATTTTATGAATATGCTTCCCATTCTAGTGGATGCCCTACTTCCTTCTTATAAAATAACCCCTGACCACTCCAGCCCAGACCTTCTTGCCTGAGCTGACAGAACTGAGAATGTTGAGCATGGAACCAACCAGACCTTCTCCTCACATGGGTTCCTAAATCCCTTGCAGCAGGGGCAAACATGATGTATGGAGTTCAAGGCAATGAATGGGAGGCCCTGTTCTGCACTAATCAGCCACAGGACTTCAGATTATTTCTTTGACTTCTCAGCTTTAGTTTATGTGTAACACAGAAATGTGGCTAGGGTGAGCATTTAATGGAGGTAATGGATGTTCAGGTACCCTGGAAACAATAAAGCATGGTACTTCTAATGGAGAGTATTATCATCTTTTTAACCTTTAGGAGTTTATAGAAAAAGCATAGTCTCTGGAGTCAACAGACAAGGGTTGAATCCAGACTCTACTTCCTATTGTCTGTGTGAGCGTGGGCAAGATGTTTGCTCATTGGCTAAGTAGGAATAATAACATCTACCCAGTGGGGATATTGGAAGAGTTAATGGGGTAATGCTTATCAAGCGCATAGCTCTGTGTCTACCAGAGCAGATGCTCAATAAGCATTCGCTTGCCCTTTTCCTGCTCTTAATATATGCTGATTTATTCTTAATTAAAATGTCAGTTCTGCATTTGTCAACAAATATTCTAAAAATGTATAAAACTACCAAGCTGTATCTAATATCCATTTCTAGTAGAGAGATCTATTAAAACCATGAATGATCAATTGCTCATGTGGTATGCACCCCCCCAAAGCTAAAGGAGGTTTTCTTTTCTTAACAAGGGCCGCCTGCAGATGTGGGTGGACATGTTTCCCAAAGATATGCCTCAGCCTGGACCCCCTGTTGACATTTCACCAAGGCAACCCAAAGGGTAAGTCAGCTGCAGCCCTACCTTCAGGGAAGAGATCACAGTAGCCGACTAAAAGATCTTGACATTTGATCTGGTGTGTCATGTGTTACATTGATCAATTACCACCTGATAAGTATACCCCACTTTCTGCCTGACCAATTACAGCAGGAGGTGAGTGTAAAGATTGGAATGGTGGCCCCTGTTTTATGGTAGGAGCTACTATTGAGCTTCAACATTCTTAAAAACATTGGTTAATGGAAGGAGGATCTTCTCAGAGAAATTCATGTCCTTGGTGATTTCAGCTGGGACACTTGGTTTTGATGAAGCCAAGACCTTAAGTGTTGTTTTTGAACATTGTTTTTGAACTTGGTGAAGTTGAGGAAACTTACAGACTCAAAGCAATACCAGAATCCCATAGACACCTGTTGACTCAGTGTTCATAGTTTTCAACCTAATGCTGCCTTCGCTTATTCCAGGTATGAATTGAGAGTAACCATCTGGAACACTGAAGATGTCATTTTAGAGGATGAGAATATCTTCACAGGACAAAAGTCAAGTGATATTTATGTTAAAGGGTAAGGTCATCAACAAACTCCATCCTTCCTAACCTTCCCTCCTCACCTCCTTAACCCTTAACCAAACCTGTGCCTACCGAAGCTACTCCACCCACATCCCACAAAAGGAGTTCATCTTACCTTGTTAGATGAGGACACTTTCTTTGTCAAACATTTGTCTTATTTGGTCATTTTGTTAAGAATTATTATCTTATGAAAATATTTTTGTGAAAAATATTATTATATAAAGGTCTCTTTAAGTTTAAATATTGGATACTTAGACTTTTTGAGTGACATCAAAATACATTTACACCTGAAGAAAGTAGAGAGATGTGGTGCTATCGAAGAAAGGTTAAATGATAAGAAGATAGTAAGACTAATACAAATGCTAAAACTTAGAACTTCCCATTTGCTAGTTCTGCTGATAAGAAAACCTAGGACTCCGGGAACTAAGGATTTTATATCTCTCTTGCCCCTAACTATGTCATAATCTTAAAGCTATGATCTATGACCACATTACAACTAGCTAAGTCACTCTCGGTTATACTGGTGCCTGAATAATGTGTTTAATTCTTCTTCTGCCTTTATTCAGGTGGATAAAGGGCCTGGAAGATGACAAGCAGGAGACAGACGTGCATTACAACTCCCTCACTGGTGAGGGGAACTTCAACTGGCGCTTCCTGTTTCCGTTCCAGTATCTCCCAGCTGAGAAGCAAATGGTCATCACCAAGAGGGAGAACATCTTTTCCTTAGAGAAGATGGAGTGTAAGACGCCAGCTGTGTTGGTGCTCCAGGTTTGGGATTTTGAAAGGCTGTCCTCGGATGACTTTCTGGGTAAGCCATTGGCTTCGTCAAGCTCATATGAATGCTAAGGGTTGTGTCCCAGGTTTGGGGGAGCTTGCTCTGATTTTGCTACAAGGGTAATAATTTCATTGCTATTTATGTTAGTGAAAAATTGGAAGCACTCCAAAGAGCCATTCATAGGGGATTGGCTGAATGAGTTATGTTGCTTCCATATGGTGGAAGAGACATATTCAAACAGAGTTAGATTGATCTTTGCTCTACCACGAAGAAGCTGTTAAATTTTGAGCTAATTAGTGGTTCATGCTGTGCCTCAGTTTGCCTCCATTGTAAAAATGGGGATAGTAATATTGCGTATCTCAGTATTACTCAGTATTATCTCAAGGGTATTGGGAGCTGTATATGTGATAATATAATTTAAAAACTAGGCACAGTGCCTCATACATCGTAAGTAGCCAATAAGTGATAACCCTGCAGCCATTAAACACAGTAGAATATTTAGTGAGTTGCATAGACTGTAAGAAAAAATCCCCGACCTGGAGGGTTTAGTGAACTCAAAGAGGGAGGTGTGATGGGAGAAGGGGGTTCTCACAGACTGATCTATGCCAAGGCAGGGGAAGGCTCAGAAGATGGGCATGTGATTCGGACTGCAACCAGGGAGCAGAGATGCCCAGCAGCAATGACACCTGAAACTGTGGCTTGAAATTTCACATTGTAGCTCTGCGCTTGTCTCCTACCTGCTACCACATTACTAATGTTCTGAGGGCACCAAACATGTCTTGGTCGTATTTGTACCCCAATACCTAGCACATGTTAGCGATCTAATATGGTGCTGACTGAATGCCTAGTGAGGGATGGATGGATGAATGGATTATTGATGGATGATGAATGAATGAATGAATAGATGGAGGTATGTTGGATGAATGAATGAATGAATGAATGAGTGAATAATGGTAATTGATTTCAAAAGCCCTTCCATAACTGCTATGGGCATCTCTTCACAGGCTCCCTGGAAATGAACCTCAATAGTTTCCCCCGGGCAGCCAAGTCTGCCAAAGCCTGTGATCTCACCAAGTTTGAAAATGCAAGTGAGGAGAGCAAAATCTCTATATTCCAGCAAAAGCGTGTGCGGGGCTGGTGGCCTTTTGCTAAAAGCAAAGAACTCACAGTAAGTGACAGCTGTAGGAGATGGGCTTGGGGGAACCCAGGGAACATTATGCTTCTTAAATGAGTAATTTTGCAAACCTCAAGTGAAGTGCCTTGCAGTGGATGACACAGAGCCCTTTAGGGCAAAGGTTCTGCTGAGAAGCAAGAATTCTGAACACTGTAAATGCATTAAGCTTCCCGTATTTCAGCATTCTTGATTTAATAGCTCTCTCTGTCAGGGTGGTTTTCTGTCCTTTTGGCTTGAACTTATGCCACTGGCATTAGTGTTTTTTTGTTTTTTTCAACATTTCTTGAAATTAAGCATCAAGTCCTGACTGATGTGAAGTTTTACATAAATATCTCATCCTTTCACCCTCAAACACGAGACTCAGTTTAAAAAGTGATCCATCCTTTGGAAACTTCCTGGAGAGAGTGACCGCAGGGATAGCCATTTATGCCTTTCTCTGCATGCCACCGTGGTCCTACTGTGTGGCACACACTGTAGGAATTCAGACCTTTCACAAATGCCGGAAGAAAGCTTCTTCTGCCCTTTCCCACTGCTTCTGTAAGGGGGAGGGATGACTTAAATGATCTTTGAAGTTGAGAAAAGGGGCTGAGCTGCATCGGTGGCCTTTCTCTGCTCTGGCCTCCTCTTGGGGTGAGCATGCTCTCCCCTCTGCTCCGGTGCCCAGTGGCAGAAGCACACCCGGGTCAGGACCCTTCTGGTAGCAGGTCTGAATAGAGAGCTATTTCTCTCTCTCTCTGCTTCAGGGGCCCAGTGGGTGAGAGGCACAGATGCCCTTTGAATCAGACTGGGTGAATGGCAGCTGCAGCCTGACTCCGTGCTGTCTGGTCTTACTCTGTTAGCTGGGAATTTTTATCTCCCCTCCATTATCAATGTA